ACGATGCTGGGGATGTTGACGGGCTTGTGTAAAACGCGTCAATTTCGCGAGAAAATGCTGTAAACTACGACATTTTACTGGCCCGGACGAAAGACGAAAAAACATCCAAAACGAAAAAACAACCCAACATAAATCCGCACCCCTTCAAAAAACAGCACAGACCCCAGAGCGAAGAGCTGCACCAGCACCCCAAACTGCATGCCCCCTCGCGCCCGTCAATCTTGCCAACAAAGGCGCCTGCACGGTCAGCAGCACCTCAACCACAAGCAGCCAACCCAAAACAGCTGCACCAGCCCTGAAATTGAATGCCCCGCAGCACCCGTCCATCAATCTCGCAAATCACTTTCACCTCTTTATTAGAAGCCAGAACCCCATAGCTTTCAGCTGTTTGGGGCAAGACGAAAAAATCCGCACCCTTGGGACAAAAATTAGTCAGTGGTTTGATGTTGCACAGGTTCAAATTATGTTTGGCGCGCTCGTGTTCGGTGGTGTTTGATCTTGGAATTATTTTGTCGAGCTGTCAATTATTCCTCTTTTGCTTTTGATGTATCCATTCCATGGTTGTTGGTGTTATGTGTTCCTTTATTGACTTGCTTGTTATATACTTTGTTGCAACGTGATATATATATATATATATATATATATATATATATATGTGTGTGTGTTTACGTCCTCACACCATGTGCTGTGTTGTTTTAGTTATGCGAATTTATTGCCTTGTCACTCCATGAGCTTCCTGCCGCACACATGTTAGCTTCTGCTGCAAGCGAAATATGTGTCCAACCACATGTTTCACGCTCTATGCCAAATCATTCAAGCAAGTTGGTGTGTTTGCAGTTGTCCTATTTGCTTCTTGGTAAAATAGTGTAACTCGCTCTGTGTTTTGACAGTCAATTGCTTGAACTTCAGACTTGCCTTATGCCTTTCGCAAACGCTAAGCATGCCTTGGACATAGACATACGAATATATATATATATTTATTTGCCCTTGGCCTTCTTTTGAGTCATGCTTGAAGCTTAAAACCTTCACATGTCTTGGTCAAGAAGAGCCCCATGTCTATCTGTACTCGGCGCGCTTGTATTTGTAAATGGCGAGTACACAGCAATCGGCATCACGATTGAGACCATAAAACCATCCGTCCTGAGTCCCGAGTTCAGTAAGTGTTAAGGTATGACACGCCCCCCATGTGCTCGGAGGAGCGTCCCTGGGCCACGTGCGGATGGATGGAGCAAGCCAGGCATGCCAATTCTGAATTGCAATCTCGAGTTTCTATGTTTTGAATGTTAGGTGTTAGGTTAACAGGTTGAATGCATTTTGAATGCATTTGATTGACATGTTGCGGAGCGAGCCGGTGAAGCCCTCGAAGCGGATGCAATCGCGCCATCCGGGAGGTGTTCTCGCGGCGCCTGGCGACCACGACGGCCGAGCCATTGCTCCCGCCTGAGCTGCGGGCCGACGCTTGGCTGAATCTTGGAGGTTCGGGCTGCGCGTCGTGTTTTTTGCTCCAGGATATCCTAGTGGTCTTCGGGATGGTGGTCACCGGCACCAACCCCTTGTTGGGGGTGTCCAAGGCGCGGAAAGCCGCGGAACGCGAGAGAGATGAGAGGCTGAGAGGAAGAGAGGAAGAGAGGAAGAGAGGAAGAGAGGAAGAGAGGAAGAGAGGAAGAGAGGAAGAGAGGGATGGACGGAGGAAGATCCCTACGGCTTCTCCAGCGACTTTCGCTTAGAAGATCCATGGGCGCAGCGCCGAAGCCTGGATTTGTGCACCAAGTATCCAGAGGACACGGGCGGAGAAAACGGGCGGAAGGGAAAAAGGGCGGATGGCGGGAAAGCGGTGTTGAAACTTCCCGGAAGAGGGGAGCCGATGGGGCCGATGTCGGAACTTTCTCATTCGATGCCGATGTCGAGAAGGATCAGGTGCGAAATGGGTCGCATCTCGTGTAGGAGCTGAGGGTGACGAGCGTGGACTGCTGGCTGGTGGGCTTCCAGCAGTGGTGGGAAGAATCTGGGGAGGAGTTCCCCGTGCGGCCCAACAAGGACTTCCATGCACAGGCATGGTGGTACGCCAACAACAAGAAGACCGGACCCTACGAGACCACCCGCTGCCTGGCCGACCTACTTGTTTTCTGGTTTCACTTGTCTCATCTTGTCTCCATGGCACCTCGACCTTCAGAAAGACGCGAAATTGAAACCCGCGCAATGCGTGTGCGCTGAGGTTATTTATGGTTCTCGGAGGACAACCGGCTCATTGCCATGTACTTCCAGCGCCAAAGCTCACAAAGTGCATAGTGTCAAATAGTGTCCATGTTCTGCATGTTCTGCATGTTCAAGAACTGTTCAGGAACTGTTCTGCATCGCGTGCCGAGGTTCTACTGCAATGTGAACCGCCTGGGTGGCTCTGCTGTGGGACTGCGGGCCATGCAGGATTGGGATCAATTCCTGGCCGTGCCCGGGCAAAGGCGTACATGGCGTACATGGCGTATGTGCATTCATGGCGTACATTTGCAAAATGTGCAAAACACGGTTGCATGCTGCAGCATGCTGCATGCTCAAAAGTTTGCGCCTGTGCACGGTGTGTCGAATGAAAACGAGGCCTTCAACAGTCAAGCGGAAGCCTCCATCAAGGGAGCCTGGCATGCCGCTCGACGCATGAAAACGTGCATCGCAACGTGCCATGAATGGCCTTCAGGAAGCACCGGCATTTCGGCATTCGCGCGCCCATTTGCAACATTTGCACCCAGGCGTCCAAGCTGTGGACCGTCAGTGAAGCAGAGAAGGTGAGCTGAGAGTTCAAGTTGAGAGATGAGAATTGTGAGAGCAGCTGAGGTGATCTTGGACAGCACCTTGATCACTTTGTGCATCTCCTTGGGCTGCGTGTTTCTTGGGGTTCTCGTGTTCACACGAAGCACCCACCTGGCGGTCATCGTCATGGTGGTGGTCATGACGATTGTCATTGGCCTGCTCTTCTTTATGGTCGTCGCTGGGGCCTCAGAGTGAGCCTTGAGCCTTGAGCCTTGCAGAGCCTTGCAGAGCCTTGCAGAGCCTTGCAGAGCCTTGCAGAGCCTTGCAGAGCCTTGAGCCTCGAGATGAGGGAGGTTTCGGTTTCGCTCGCCCGAGGTGATGAGTTGGACGATCGGGGCCATTGAAGTGCTGTCCTTGATTGTGTTCGTGGGCTTTGCAGTGGACTACTGCCTTCATTTGTGGAGCCCTCAGAGTGTAGTATCACAGGCGCTCGCAGCAGAAGAGCGACCAAGGTCGCACAAGTACCACTCCTGTCACATCACAGATGTGGAGGAAAAGGATGAGGAGGAGGATCTGGACGAAGAGGAGGCAAGGCAAAAGAGACGAGCTGCATCCATCATGATCCTGTCAGGAGCCCGAGCAAAGGACGGTGGCCGAACGACTACAAACTTTCGGCAGGAGCAGTTCTTTTGCCGCTTGCGTGAGTTGCCGCTGAAACGTGTCAGGAAAAGTGTGTGAAGACCTCAGTGCGTGGGCGCGCAATGCCCACCCTGAGCCCACCCCACGGCATCCCACGGGAGCCGTGCACGGCTCAGGGCGGCCGCGGTGGGCAAGAACTCCTCTCCCGGGCAGCGCCGGGTCAGCATGAAGATCTCAGATGCTCCAGTGCTGGTGAACAAGGCATCGGCCACAGCGCCAATGGCGCTCGCACCTCAAATCCAAGCCGTCCGTTTCCGAAGGCGAGCACGCAGAAGCAGCAGCAGAACAAAAGGGTGCTCTCTAAGAACCGGAGCTGGATCCCCAACGGAGAGATCATGAGACAATTCAGAACTTGCGACCGATTTCTCGCGAGGTGCCGAGCGCTTCGAGAGGTCCAAATACGCTCTGGAGCGGATCGGAGGATCCATTGCCGCTCGGATTTTTCAAATGCGGCGCAGCCATGCGCAGCCATGCGCAGCCATGCGCAGCCATGCGCAGCCATGCGCAGCATTTGTATACATTTTGCCATGAGGTGGGATCGGCACTCACCACCATCGGCTCTGCATGCTTCCTGCTGCCATGCACCATGCACGTCTTTTTCAAGCTGGGTGCCGTAGCGGGGAAGCTCAGCATCGAATCCGTCGAATGCGTCGAATGCGTCGAATGCGTCGAATGCGTCGCTGTCCATCGAATCCGAAGCTCCGAAGCTGAGGTGTGTGGTGTGACCGTCTACGCGGTGATCTTCTCGCTGATCCCGCTGCCTGCCGTGCTCATGTGCTTCGGTCCCTGCGGCAGGAGCCTGATGGCCCCGCCCCACATGGGCCCATGGGTTGCTCAGCTCAGTGCATCCGAGGCCACGACTTCCGATCCATCCTGGAGCTCTTGGGGTGCGGGTCTTGCGTGGCTGGGCCTTGGCATGCGCCTCGCACCTCAGGCGCGCCGCCCAGAACATTATGCCGGACGACGAAGAGGATGAAGACGAGGAGGATGGGATTCAGCGATCGAATCGGAGTCGATTCGAATGGAGACAGGATCACAATCAATCGGTGGCGCCGGTGGCGGACGGCGACGAGGTTCGGGAGCACCGCCGCTATGTGCTGAACATGCCCAGCAAGGCGCTCACGGCTTGGCTGCTTTTGCATTTGGGAAAGCGCTGCAGCGGACAGGGCATGGGCCAAGTCGGAGACACCTCCCATTTTCAGCCCACGCGTACCAGCAGCTGAGCTGCAAACATTGCTTGTGCGGGACCCGTGATGTTCCAGATTCAGTGACCAAGGAATCGCGATCCACGGATGACTGCTTGAGGTGCTTGACTCCGCAACTTCAAGAGCTGTGGGTAGTCGATAAGCCCAGCTCAGAGTCGCATCGATTGCACCGGCCATATCTGGCCACTAGCACCAGTCTTGCATCGAGCGTCTCGTTGCGGCCCTGGGCTGGGCTTGCCCTGAGTTGGCTGCGCCGCCCTAAGGGAGCCAGGCCAAGCGCAAGTTTCGCAAGCGAAAGTTGCGCGCGATGGGGATGGGTAGACGTAGGGGTTAGGTACGGCATGCGACATGTAGGTGGAGCTGGAGTCGGAGGATTTGGAGGCTCCTTGACGCGTCTCGTCCGGAGTCCGGCCTGAACGGAACCGACGGGTTGTCACCGAATTGCGGCAGGAGTTTGAGCTCTGTGACTTGGACGTGGCGGAGAGCCAGGAGCAGCAAAAGCTTACAGGCCGATTTGTCGACACCTCTCCAGTCCCAGCTTCCCGGAAGCAGGTCCTGATGTCTCAGAGGATGAGGCTAAGAGAGGGAAAGAGAGAGAGAGGGAGAGCGCACGAAAGAGCAAGAGCGAGATCACGAATTGAAGGCGTTAAGGATGGAAAGGCCTCAATGAGTTGCCAACGCACATTGTTCCTTTTCGAGAAAGCGTCAGGCTTCGCCATGTCCAGCTATGTGAACGTGGACACCGACCGCGGAGGCAAGTAAAGTCAAAAAAATGATACCTGCGGTATCTTGCAGCATGTGACAATTCAAGGGGTTCACGGCACTCCAGCGCCCAGAGCGGCAATCGCATTTCAGGTGGGGGTTTGGGCGTAGCGCAGAGCCACACAAATTGAGAAGCTCGCTACGCCATCCAAGCACTGGCCATGCCCAGCTCGAGGTAGCAACTTGACTCAAGGCCCCAAGGCATTTGGCCACTGGCACAGCCGGCACAGCGCTGAAATCAGCGCTCGCATAGGTCAGAGGTTTCTCGGGAAAGCATCGAGCCCGGGGGTTCGAAAGTGCGATCCCCGAACATGCGCACGGGGTTTTCATACGCGCGCGCAGCAAGACCTTTGGAAGACTGGACATGACCCAATATGTGCAGTCGAACGTGCCAGAAGTCTGCAGAAACGATAGGGGAAAAGATACCTGGGACGGCCCTTCTGCAAGGAAAATATCATTTGCCAAATGTACTTACGGAAAAGTTGCGACTCTGAGTTGAAGCCACCAAAGGAGATGTGAAAACGCTCAAAACCCTGCTTTGCAAGTCGCTCCACGTGCATCTATATATGGTAGAGGTCAGCAACCCCCCTTCCCCTTCTCCTGGTCATGGTTCAAAAGCATCAGCCCCCGCCCCCGGGTGGTTGGTCTAGGGTTGGCACAGCGGTTGGCTTCCGGCTTTTGAGGGTTAGGGGTTACAGTTGGTTTAGGGAATTTTAAGGGTTTGGGTTTAGGCTTGGTCCTGTGAGTTCAGTGGTTCAAGGACGGGTTGCCGCAAGCCAAACCTAGAAAGCTGATGCCTGCTCGGTGTTAACCCAATGAACCCAAACACCCCCCCAACAAAAACACGGGAAGCTAACGCTTAAGATGTGGCACCGCTAGCCCCGACTGAGCAAAAGTTGCTAACTCGTTGCTGCTTAAACTGGGACGCACTTCCATTCCGACTGCCGGGCGTCTTTCGATTCCAAGTCCGCAGGCTCCTTAGACGCGAAAGCGAAGGGCTCAACGAAGGCCGGGGGATGTCTTTGAGCCTCACGTGCTTTGTTTCCGAGGAGATGGACGCCAATGAAAGTGATGCAAGCCATGAGGGCAAAGTCGTTGGAGTCGCAGATGTCGCTGAAGTCGCACTAGTGTGCATGGCTTGCCCGGACGGTCGGACGTAGACACCGTGAGGCAGAACTCTAGGCCAATGATGTTGAGCTGGACCAGGAGATGCCCGCGCAAAAAGATCTGGGGATGTGACTGCGGACACAAGGCTTTCTGCATCTTGATGCTGCAAGCATGGGCAAGTTCAAACGGAAGCAAGCCTGAGCCTTTTACATTCAACCGACACGAGAGAACTCAACATGCTGTGGCATGCTTGCATTTTCAAAGATGTGTCTGAATAGACTGCCAAGTCAGCAGAAGCCTTTGGCCCGCGCATGCCATGCCGCGCGCGGTATCCTTCTTGGATGAGCTCATGACCGGGCCTCAGGGGTCACCCGGTCTTCCTGCCTCGACCGGCGATGGGCATCCCACTTGAGACTTGGGTGATCTTGGGCGATCTTGGGTGTGTTCGGTTGCAAAGCAAACAAGAGAGGGAGGCAGAGAGTCAGAGGCGCCATAGTATGTGCACAACAAAACCACGCATCACGTGCGTGTTGATGCTGGGTAATATTGAGATGGATCCAGGATCCAGATGTCCAGATGTCCCTCCCAAGAAGCTTTCTGCAACCCCCACTCCTTCGCCATGGCGTGGCTTCCGCCGGGGGAGATGCCCTTGGTGCACGCGGGGCAGACGTCGGCTGCTCAGATGCCTGCGCTTCTGTTCTTGGGCGTGGCGCGTGTGTTTGGCGATTTGGGGTCGCAGGCTGCGGCTGTGTCTGCGGCAGTGTTTGGAGGCGCTGCAGATTTGAGCTCACTGAGAGCCGATCGAACATCGAAAGGTGCGTCCGGGCGAATGGTTTGAAGTTGCGGTGGGATGCCGGCAGCTCGACTGGAATGAACACGGGCAACTGGATGCAACTGGCCCCATGCCACACGGCCATAAGTCCGCCAGACTTCCAGACTTCGACCCCTCGGTTGACCCCTCGGTTGACCCCTCGAGACGAGGAACGAGTTCGGCCTTTGGAAGCGCGACGAGTTCCCTTTCCCGGCGCCGGTGGCGCTGGAGCTGGTGTTGCTGAGCCTGCGCGGAGAGCTGCTCGCGGCGCCAGCGCCTTGAGTCATTAACGAAAAGAGAAAAAGAAGAAAACAGATAAAGCAAATAAAAAGAAGGAATGAAAAGAAAAGAGAAGCAGTTCAGAGAGGTACGAAAACAGTAGATGCCTTTGGCCCAAGCTGAGGAGACGCGTGGTAGCCTTCTTTTGACCAGCTCCGGCAAGTTGGAGTTTTCCGCTCGCATGGAGGCTCCAGCATCTCGGCACCGAGCCCAGAGCCCACACTGTCTCTCTTCAAAGCCTGATCGCAAGCCAAGAGCGCTGAGGTTGAGGGGCATGTATTGGAATGGTTTAGACCCGAGGGCCATTTTTGTGAAGGAGCTGTTGTTGCTTGACTTTAGTCTGTTTTGTTGTTTTTAAGGGTGGATGGTGTTTGGCTTTTGTAGCTTTTTCGTGGATTTGTGCGGTTTTGGGCGTTTTTTTGGCTTGGCTTTTCGCATCCTCTGAAATCCCAATTCCTCTCTGGCAGGTAGCTGTTTGGCTTTTGCCGCTTTTTGTTGGGTTTGGGCGGCTTTTTTGGTTTTGCATCCTTTGCTTTCCCAGTTCCTCTCCGGCAGGTGGCTTTCATTGGTTTTTGGCTTTGTCCACTAATACTTATGTTTTTGTGCATGTATGCAATCTATGTAATCTATGTAGTGTATGTACGTACGTACGCACTGCTTCGGACAGCATTACGGGGGGGGGGGCTGCCACCCCCTCCCCCAACCCCCGCGCTCATTGTTATCATTTTTTTTGAGCATCGTGTAGGTTGCCCCCCCCAAACCCCTGTTGTTTTTCACTTTTTCGAACATTGGGGGGGGGGGGGGCTGGATGTTGAAATCTGTTTTTGGGGGCATGTACTTTTATCATAGCATGTTTCAATGCCACAGCCAACGCGCTGTTTGGCTCAAGCTTTTGGTCCCGGCGACCCTAACTTGCTGTTCCGGCAATTCGCCTTCCAACGGCGCCGCTTCGCCTCTCGCGCAAAAGCACTGCGCGGGCCGCGGCCGCGGCGGTTGGGGCGGACTTGGGGGCAGGTCAGGACCTAGGGTCGGGGGCTTGCTTTGTGCGCTTGCTTGGTTGCCCTGTGCTCGCTGCTCTGTTTGCCTGCTTGGTTTGCTGCTTCGTGCTTGCTTTCGGTTGTCTCTGCCCTTGCTGGGCTTCTTTACCTTGTTACAACTGGCACCCTGTTTGGTTCGTGTTTGCGCCGGCCGGGGGCAACTGCTTTGCCCTTGGGACCGGGGGGATAAGGTGGTCTCTTCTTGTTGGTGGGTTAGGGCCTGTTTTATCCATCCCGAAACTCTGTTTCAAACCCTTTCGCAAAAACGATGCTCAGGATGCTGCCGGGCTAGTGCAAAATACGTACGCCGGCCAAGAAAAGAAAGGATAACTAAGTAAAATCTCAACCCTTTTAGACACACTGTCCTACGCCAAACGCCATGTCTTCGGCTCAGGCAGAGCCGGCCATGCTTTGTGTTCGCGCCTCTGACGTGGACTTGATCCGACCACTGGTGCCAGTGCTATCACCGCCCATGGGACCAGGCGGGGAGCGATTGCGGGGTCGAGAGAGACCAGAGAGGTGCCAGTATATCATGTGTACGTGTAGATCAAATCAGTAAATGTGTGTTGCTATTGTTTGTTTCTTTGTCTTGTTGCCTTTCGCCTGAGGTGAGCTGCCACACCCCAAGCGGTTGACGCTGGAGCAGTGCCGACTGATCAGTGTCGGCGCCAGCAGCTTGTTATGTGGTTTGCTCAGGGCGAATTCGAGTGAGAGAATGCGAAGAGAATCTTGTGCTTGTGACGCTTGTGACGCTGGTGACGCTGCTTGCGATTTGTAGGCCGTTTCGGCGTGAGGTGCTGAGTGTCAGGGAGACCTGGGCATCGGTGGGCGCCTGTGGGATGGTGGCTTGGTTCTGCTTGAGCAGCCTATCTGAGATCATTGCGCTGAACCCCGTTTTGTCTTGGGCACCCAGCCGAATTGTGATAGCGAAATGGCGAAATACGAGCGGACGCTTGACGTTCGCAGATTTTGACATCCAGCAAGATGCTAACGCAAGCGCGCCATTTACTGAGCTCAAGTGGGAACGCCACTTAGGAACACGCTCACGCAAGCAGGAACACGCCGCTTAGCCGCTTACTTGACCAGGAAGCTTATGAAACCCGAAGAGCACCAGCCATTCACTTGAGGAACATGCTGAACGAGCAGGAACGTGCGCCGCTTGCTTGAACGCGACACTGAGTTGACCAACATCGTCAGCCAAGGAGGAACGTGCCACTTGCTTGACCAGCAAGATGCTAGTGCAAGCGCGCTCTTCGCTCGACCTGGCATGCAGCCCAAATAGGAATGCATCACACAAACGCGCCGCTTTCTTGCCGAACACGCCACTGACCTGACCAGGAACAGATTCCTGCAACTCGAGAATGAACACACCACTTGCTTGACCATGAAGATGCTGCAGCCTAAGTAGGCAAACGCCCCTTCACCAAAAGCATGCTCGTGCAACATGCGAATGCAACCAAACGAATTGTGATGTTCAATCCACTTTGGTGTTCAATGCGCAGGCCCTTGCTAACATATGCCAACCACACTATGTAGCTCTTCAAAATCTAGTTCCGCTGGCACGCGCTTTCGTGTGTGCGTGCATGTGTGCGTGTGCAGTGTGTGGTGTGCGGTTGTGTGTCTGAGGTCTGGGGTCTGTGGTCTGTGTCTGTGTGTGTGCGCGTTTGTGTGCAGTGTGAGTGTGAAGCACCAAACCCTCAATGCCCTCAAGGCGATGTGTTGCGAGCTCGTGACCGGCCTTTCGGGTATTGTGCGCATGCTTGATCTGTGTACTGTTCTCAGAAGAGCCTTGGTTTGGATGCCCTTCAGCCATCATCCGTGAAACTACTTGGATCAATGAAGAATGTCAACATCGAATCTCCGCTTTTTCTGTGCGGCTGTAGATTGCCTGGACACTGAGACTTTTTGAGGCACCCTCCCACGTTGCTCTGTTTCACCCCAGCTTGAAATGAGCTAGAACGGCACTCATGACATGATTGTATGCCTGTTAGCGGAGTACTGGAGGAGTGAAGTAATGATCGGCGGCAACAAGTGCCCAATATCTCATTCAGCCTTTTGATTGTTCGGTAGATTGTTGCTTGCCTTATTTTCGGTGTTCCTTTGTTGTTTTTGTTTCCTTGCGCGCTCTCGCTATGTGCCTTTCTCCACGCGTGTGTGAGGAAAACCCCGGAACCCCGGGTCCGCGTGCACCGGGACTCCAAGAGAGAGAATTTCTCAAGCTCGCCCTTTTCCCTCCTGTCGCCCTTTCCCTGTCCAACGTCCACCCACCTATCCTAAACCTACCCTAAGCCCACCTTAAACCTACCCTACACCTACCCTACCCAAACCTTCCCCAAAACGGACCCCAAACCTATAAACCTACCTACACCCATACTCTGCACCACCCTACCAAGTACGTCCTTACCTTAAGCTCACCCTAAACCTTGCCTAGACCCCTCTTCCATGCCGACATGCTCGACAATCGCGCCATCACGTGCCATGTGCAAGGCTCAAATTTCGCACAGGTCTTCCAAGCACCTGGATTGCACCGGCCTCTCGCATAAAGCCCGGCGTGGCGACAAAGCTGGCCTCCCAGGCTCTTGCACGTGCATGTCTGTACGACCTCGGCCTCACCACTTGCCCCGAATCCACCGAGGCTCCCTCCTCAAACCTTTCTCCCCCCTAAATCCACTTGCAGCCAAACAACATGTAATTAAGAGATGAATGGCAACAGTTGCAAGGGCGACCGAAGGGCTTCCCCGGCTTCCCCTGCCGTCCGAGGTACCTGGCGACGGGAAAACTCGAGCGCCGGCGGGTGCTGGAGCTGGGCAGCGGCGTGGGTCTGGTGGGCCTCGGCTGCGCCCTCCTGGGCGCCAAGGCGCTTCCGCCCCGAAGCCCCGAAGCGAAGCCCCGAAGTCGAAGCGGGGAGCGAAGTCGGGTCGGTAAGTCGGTAAGTCGGTAAGTCGGTAAGTCAGGTTTAGAGTCGGTAAGTCGTTTGAGGTGTAGGCATGAGTCTTGAGTCTCAAATCCGGCTCAAGGTTCTGAGTTTGAAGACATGGATGAGACCCATCGCAAGCGGACGAGGATGTTGTTTATAGAAAGCGAAACGAAGGAGGATAAACTCGCATACTGTCTAAAGGCAGGGAAAGAACTGTTTGGAACTATCCACTATCGATTAGAAAAGAAGGGGAGGGATAAAAGAGGCTAATCGCCAAGGAATGTTTTGCCGGCTGACAAATCAGCACAAACATCCAAAAGCCCTATGAAGTCTCAAGTTGCCCCCGACATCGAGTTGAGAATGAAAAGGATCCAGCCTCATCCCAAATTTGTGCATGGGAGATGCATATCTGCAAGGTGCTCATTGGGTTCACCGAGTGTTCAAGCTGAGGGCAGATTCCTGTTGCATGCCGCAGGTGTGGCTTACAGATCTCGAGGAGGTGATACCACTACTGGAGTTCAACATTGCGCTGAATCGCGCCCGCGGGCTCACGCTGGATGTCGAGGAACGCAGGGGACGCAGCCAGCTGCACAGTCGGCAGTGCGCGGAATTCGGAGAGATTCGAGCAAGGGCATGAGGACCGTCGGATGTCGCCCACTCGAGAGGCGAAGGCCCACGAGTGGGGCACTGACGTGGCCGAGCTGCCTGCGGTGGATCTGGTGGCTGGGGCCTGAGGCCGGCCCCGATGCAACGGCATGCCCTGCCTCATGCCTCGAGCCTCGAGCCTCGAGCCTTGAGGTCATGGCGGATTTGGTGTACGCCGCTCCGATCGCACCCGATCCAAGAGGCCCGGGAGCGAGCGAGCGAGCGAGCGAGCTCAGGACGTGGAGGCCTCCAAGCAGCTGCTGGCGAGCCTCGTCGCGCTGGCCAAGGCATCCAAGCCGAAAGCCGACCGAAAGCCGACCGAAAGCCGACCGAAAGCCCTCGAAAGCCCGCAAGGCGCTGCTAAGGGCCAACTGCAGGTCTGGATTGCAAAACAGGTCTGGCAGAGCTGCAAAACTGCAGCTCCAACACTGCAAACTGTGCAAATCTGCCAACTTGACATGAGCCACGGACAAAACACGCGTAGACCACTTTATCAAGACGGGGCACGCTTTTGAGTAACACATCCCAAAACCATGGAAAACGATGAGGTCTCCCCCAAAAACGATGACCCTTAACGAACACACGGCTCTGTAAATACGACACTTGTACTGAGAAGTTGCGATTTTCGAGCTGGAGATGCGGAAGTGTACTTCGCGTACAGCCTAGGCTTGTACTACAAAGCTGCGATTTTCGAGCTGGAGCTGCGGAAGTGTACTTCGCGTACTAGACTTGTACTACAAAGTTGCGATTTTCGAGCTGGAGATGCGGAAGTGTACTTCGCGTACTAGACTTGTACTACAAAGTTGCGATTTTCGAGCTGGCGGAAGTGTACTTCGCGTACTAGACTTGTACTACAAAGTTGCGATTTTCGAGCTGGAGATGCGGAAGTGTACTTCGCTTACTAGACTTGTACTACAAAGTTGCGATTTTCGAGCTGGAGCTGCGGAAGTGTACTTCGCGTACTAGACTTGTACTACAAAGTTGCGACTTTCGAGCTGGAGCTGCGGAAGTGTACTTCGCGTACTAGACTTGTACTACAAAGTTGCGATTTTCGAGCTGGAGCTGCGGAAGTGTACTTCGCGTACTAGACTTGTACTACAAAGTTGCGATTTTTAAAGTGCGAACTTGATTACTTACTACAAAGTTACGATTTTCGATCTGAGATGCGGAAGTGTAGTACTTACTTGCGAATTTCGAGCTGGAGATGCGGAAGTGTACTTCGCGTACTACTTGTATTACAAATTGCGATTTTCGAGCTGGAGCGAAAGTGTACTTCGCGTACTAGACTTGTACTACAAAGTTGCGATTTTCGAGCTGGAGATGCGGAAGTGTACTTCGCGTACTAGACTTGTACTACAAAGTTGCGATTTTCGAGCTATGCGGAAAAGACGCGATTTTCGAGCTGGAGCTGCGGAAGTGTACTTCGCGTACTAGACTTGTATTACAAAGTTGCGATTTTCGAGCTGGAGCTGCGGAAGTGTACTTCGCGTACTAGACTTGTACTACAAAGTTGCGATGATCGAGCTGGAGATGCGGAAGTGTACTTCGCGTACTAGACTTGTACTACAAAGTTGCGATTTTCGAGCTGGAGCTGCGGAAGTGTACTTCGCGTACTAGACTTGTACTACAAAGTTGCGATTTTCGAGCTGGAGCTGCGGAAGTGTACTTCGCGTACTAGACTTGTACTACAAAGTTGCGATTTTCGAGCTGGAGCTGCGGAAGTGTACTTCGCGTACTAGACTTGTACTACAAAGTTACGATTTTCGAGCTGAAGATGCGGAAGTGTACTTCGCGTACTAGACTTGTACTACAAAGTTGCGATTTTCGAGCTGGAGATGCGGAAGTGTACTTCGCGTACTAGACTTGTATTACAAAGTTGCGATTTTCGAGCTTGCGGAAGTGTACTTCGCGTACTAGATTGTATTACAAAGTTGCGATTTTCGATCTGAAGATGCGGAAGTGTACTTCGCGTACTAGACTTGTACTACAAAGTTGCGATTTTCGAGCTGGAGATGCGGAAGTGTACTTCGCGTACTAGACTTGTACTACAAAGTTGCGATTTTCGAGCTGGAGATGCGGAAGTGTACTTCGCGTACTAGACTTGTACTACAAAGTTGCGATTTTCGAGCTGGAGCTGCGGAAGTGTACTTCGCGTACTAGACTTGTACTACAAAGTTGCGATTTTCGAGCTGGAGATGCGGAAGTGTACTTCGCGTACTAGACTTGTACTACAAAGTTGCGATTTTCGAGCTGGAGATGCGGAAGTGTACTTCGCGTACTAGACTTGTACTACAAAGTTGCGATTTTCGAGCTGGAGCTGCGGAAGTGTACTTCGCGTACTAGACTTGTACTACAAAGTTGCGATTTTCGAGCTGGAGATGCGGAAGTGTACTTCGCGTACTAGACTTGTGCTACAAAGTTGCGATTTTCGAGCTGGAGATGCGGAAGTGTACTTCGCGTACTAGACTTGTACTACAAAGTTGCGATTTTCGAGCTGGAGCTGCGGAAGTGTACTTCGCGTACTAGGCTTGTACTACAAAGTTGCGATTTTCGAGCTGGAGCTGCGGAAGTGTACTTCGCGTACTAGACTTGTACTACAAAGTTACGATTTTCGAGCTGAAGATGCGGAAGTGTACTTCGTGTACTAGACTTGTACTACAAAGTTGCGATGATCGAGCTGGAGATGCGGAAGTGTACTTCGCGTACTAGACTTGTACTACAAAGTTGCGATTTTCGAGCTGGAGCTGCGGAAGTGTACTTCGCGTACTAGACTTGTACTACAAAGTTGCGATTTTCGAGCTGGAGCTGCGGAAGTGTACTTCGCGTACTAGACTTGTACTACAAAGTTGCGATTTTCGAGCTGCAGATGCGGAAGTGTACTTCGCGTACTAGACTTGTACTACGAAGTTGCGATTTTCGAGCTGGAGCTGCGGAAGTGTACTTCGCGTACTAGACTTGCACGACAAAGTTGTGATTTTTGAGCTGGAGATGCGGAAGTGTACTTCGCGTACTAGACTTGTACTGCACAGTTGCGATTTTCGAGCTGGAGATGCGGAAGTGTACTTCGCGTATTAGACTTGTACTGCCTGCCAAGTTTCGCTTTTCGAGCTGGAGCTGCGGAATTGTATTTCGCAATTTTCGGGCTGGAGCTGCGGAAGTGTACTTCGCGTACTAGACTTGTACTACAAAGTTGCGAATTTCGAGCTGGAGCTGCGGAAGTGTACTTCGCGTACTAGACTTGTGCTAGAAAGTTGCGATTTTGGAGCCGGATCTGCCAAAGTTCGAAAGCACTGTAAAACGATGAGGTCTCCCCCAAAAACGATGACGTTAAAAAAAGTACTAAGGCCAAGTAAAGGGTTTCGTCCGCTCCTCACATGTTTCAACACTGTGCTGCCCAAGCAAGGCTGCCAAGCTGCAGGCTCTGCCAAAACTACAAACAGAAGGCTGCACTGGCCTGGCAAACACTGCAAGTTTTGGTGCAAAACAGACTTAGCAAGCTGCACAACTGCCAAAGCTGCTAAGACTAAGATCTAGCTTCAACACTGCAAGACTTGTCAAGCCACTCACTGCCAAAACTGCCAAACTGCCAAAGTTTCACTGCAGGCTTCCAACACTGCCAAGAAGAGCTGCCAATTTGCCACTGAAGACTTTCCAACTAACCGCCCAAGGCCGCCCAGCTACCAATCTGCAAAGGTTCCAAATGCAGGTCTTGATTGCAACAACAGATCTGGCAGAGCTGCAAAACTGCAACTCTGTCTGCCAAAGCTCCAACACTGCAAGACCGCACATTTGCAGCCCCTGCCAACTGCTGCCCAAGCAAGACTGCCAAGCTGCAGGGCAAGGTTGCAAATTTGCAAAAGTTCCCACGAGTTTAACAGACTTGGGTGACTGCAACTCTTACCACTGCAGAGCGCAAAGCTGTCAAGCTACATGGCAAGATTTAACCTGATTGCAAAAAAGACCTGGCAGCAAAGACCTCCAGGGTCTTATTGCAAACACCTGCTGCAAAACTGCTTGTCTGCAAGCCTTGGTTGCAGGGCTGCAAACACACTTTGCAAGGTTTGCAACACTGAGGCCCAGCTTCAACACTGCAAGGCTTGTTAAGCTACTACCAAACTGCACCGAGATGACTGTGCTGAGTTTAGCAACGTTGCAAGCTTGTCTTGGCTCAGGCGGAGGTCGAGTTCCTCATGGCTTTTCGGCCCCGAAACGTCGAGGCGCGTGAGTTACCGGGACCCTTCGCCCCGGACGGCCCCGTACGGCAGGATCCAGAGTTCTTTCGGGAGCTGTCCACGCACTTTGAAGTTCAAAGGTTGGAGGAGCGGGGGGTCTACGGCAAGACCTGCTACGCAACTTTGCCTGACATTTTGCAATTTGGCCTTCGAGTCGAGACTGTCGAGACTTGGCTGAGGTTCTCTTGTACTTAGGATTTGGAGATCCTGCGATTGGGCGCACGGAAAGGCATGGCACAAGCTGAGTGTGCCGCCTTGCAAAGAGACAGCGCGCACGCATCAAAATCGTGAAGCCGCAAGTTTGTGGCAGCTGGCCACAGCTGACTGCTCCACTCACGGGATGATCTCCAAATCTCAATAAGGTCACCTCCGGTCCTGGGAGGTGGTGCCAGCAAGGGGCTGAGAGGAGATAAAGTCACGACACTCACGCGTGGCACGGGCAGTGCAGGGCCGGTGATGTGCTATCCAGACCCGCACTCGCTCGCTGGGCCCAACGGCGGCCTTCCCTTTCGCCGCCCGGTAAAGCGCAGTGGGTGTAGTGGGTGCAGTCTGTGCAGTCGGATGCCGGTCCGGCACGGGGGCACGGCGGGGAGCGGGAGTGAGTCAGGATGCTATGGCATGGCCACGGCCCCGGTGCCGGGCTCAGAGAGAGATGCTGAAGGAGCTGCTTTGAGGCGATGCTGCAAGACTCTGCTGAAGCTGTCAGAGGCATGAGACCTTTGAGACAGCGTGAGACAGCGTGAGACGCGACGCTCATGGCCAGGAGTCTCCCTGCCAAAAGCAACGCGACCCTCGCCATTCGACACAGCAGATACGATGCGAGGCAGATATTCACCGTCGGCTTTGGGCGAGTCTTGTGCCCCAGGCTGCCTGCCATGCCTGCCATTGGTCGCGCCAAGGCCGGACTTAGAACTTGAGAGTGCCGCGCTGCGCACGTCACTGAGGATGCGGAGGCAAGCAAAGAAGACAGACCTGAATGACCTGAATCGCTTCCTTTGAGCAAAAGTTGCTGGGGTGCGCCTGGACCCTTTGAGCTGGGACTGGTTGTCAGCGGATTGTTAAACCAGTCACTGACTCGTGCAATTCATGCAATCGCCCGCTCGCCGCTCGCCGCGCAGCAAATGTCTGCACATGACAGTGTAATTCCGGAGAGTCCGCGGGCCGTCCTGGAGGCGAGTCAGGATGGCAGGGCCCTCGGGATGGTGACACGCTGGCACTGAGTGGTCACGTCAAGCCAAGGCGAGTCGTCAAGACCAACATTCATGTCAGGCATGAGCAGGGTGAGCCGCACGAGCCGCATGAGCCGCATGATCCATGCTCACTGTGCCGAATTTGCTGAATCTGGCCTGCCAGGCAAAGCAAACCGTAAGCAGACTTTGAAGACTCGGCTCGCTCACCACTTGCATAGAGCCGACCTCTCAGCTGGATTCAGCGGGAACACGCGTCTGAGCTGGCGCGTGCCTTCAGATAGAGCAGCACGGCGAAGACTCGGTCTCGTGCCCCTTGTGGCGCTGCTGTCTTGTTTGAGTTTTTTGTGCTGAAGGCGCTTTGAGTCGGTCGAAGATGCTTGTGATGGCCAGGTTTTTCAGACGGCCACCACATGCATGTCACTCGAGTGTTTGCTCCTTCATGTTTATCATCATGGCGTATTCATTATTTCTTCATGGTTCAGCCCGCTCCTCAGTGCGATTTCAGCCGGTCGCTTGACTCCAACCAAGAACAGCTGGGCAAGGGATGGAACTCATTCTAATTTTGGCCCCAGGCCGTGCGCGAAATAGCTATCAGCTATGGACCAGCAGATGCCTGGAAGGAGAAAATCACAGACACGGCAGATCCCACAGTCCGAATCCGAGTTGAAGTAGCCCCGATGGAGGAAATAGTGGTCGATGAAAACCTGGCCGGCATGTCGCTGATCTCGCCAGCAGCTCCTTCAGCTCCTTGATTCTGCTTTCATGCGGGTTTTGAAGGTACGAGCTGCCGATATTTTTGGCCAATAGTCGCCACTACTTGGCCTTGCTCTCAGGTATTCAAACTCAGAGTGCATAGCGTGGCGCATAACGGAGTGCATATCACAGTCTACCCCCGATGAATGTATGTTTCAAGACCATGTTTGGAGATGGAATGCAGTTGTGCTATTTCGAATGTCCCATGCGGCTTGACCAGCATCAGCTCACCCTAAGCAAGGACAGGTCAAAATCTCATTTGGAATAGCAGTTCCAATGACGTGTTTTTTTCTTTGAAAGGGACATCCTATTTAATGTATTTTAACGCCTCCGGCTCAGGCCGCCGACATTACAGGCCCGCTTTCTTATTTGCATCCCTTTGGAATTGTCCCCTTACCCCCTTCCCCTCTAAGATTTTTGCCCCCCTTTCCTTGTTGAGATCCATTCCCCCTTTTCCCCCCTAAGGCCTTTTCCTCCCTGGGATCTTTTCCCTTTCCTCCCTGAGATCTTTCCCCCCCTCTCCCTGTTGAGATCCGTCCCCCCTTTCCCCCCTAAGGCCTTTCCCCCCGCTGAGATCTTCTCCCTATTCCTCCTTAAGATCCTTTGCCCCCTTTCCCTGTTGAGATCCTTTCCCCCCTTCGCTTTAAGGCCTTTCCAGATCTTCTCCCTTTTCCTTTTTGAGATTGTTTCCCCCCTTTCTCTGTTGAGATCCTTCCCACCCTTTCCCCCCTAAGGCCTTTCCCCCCCTGAGAGCTTCTCTCTCCCCTTTTCCTTCCTAAGATCTTTCCCCCTTTCGCTGTTGGCCTTTTTTCCCCCAGATTTCCTCCCAAAGATGTTTTCCCCCCTCTCCCTGTTGAGATCCTTTCCCCCCTTTCCCCCCTAAGGCCTTTTCCCCCCTGAGATCTTCTTCTTTTCCTCCCTAAGATCTTTTGCCACCTTTCCCTGTTCCCCTTTCCCCCCTAAGGCCCTTTCTCCCTCCGAGTTTTTCCCTTTTCATCCATAAGATGTTTTCCCCCCTCTCCCTGTTGAGATCCTTTCCCCCCTTTCCCCCCTAAGGCCTTTTTTTCCCCCGCGATTTTCCCCCTTTTCCTTCCTAAGGTCTTTTCCCCCCTTTCCTTGTTGAGATCCTTTCCCCCCCCCCTTTCCCCCCTAAGGCGTTTCCCCCCCCCAAGATCTTCTCCCTTTTCCTCCCTAAGATCCTTTGCCCCCTTTCCCTGTTGAGATCCTTTCCCCCCTTTCCCCCCTAAGGCCTTTCCCCCCCTGAGATCTTCTCCCTTGTCCTCCCCAAGATCCCCGAGATCTTCTCCCTTTTCCTCCCTAGGATCTTCTCCCACCTTTCCCTGTTGAGCTCCTTTCCCCCCTTTCCCCCCGAAGGCCTTTTCAGATCTTCTCCTTTTTCCTCCCTAAGATCCTTTGCCCCCTTTCCCTGTTGAGATCCTTTCCCCCTTTCCCCTCTAAGGCCTTTCCCCCCTTGGGATCTTTTCCCTTTCCTCCCTGACATCTGTCCCCCCCCCTTTCCCTGTTGAGATCCTTTCCCCCCTTTCCCCCCTAAGGCCTTTCCCCCCGCTGAGATATTCTCCCTATTCCTGATTTCGATACTTTGCCCCCTTTCCCCGTTGAGATCCTTTCCCCCTTCCCTTTAAGGCCTTTCCAGATCTTCTCCCTTTTCCTTCCTAAGATTGTTTCCCCCCTTTCCCTGTTGAGATCCTTCCCACCCTTTCGCCCCTAAGGCCTTTCCCCCCCTGAGAGCTTCTCTCTCCCCTTTTCCTTCCTAACCCCTTTCCCTGTTGGCCTTTTTTCCCCCAGATCTTCTCCCTTCCTCCCTAAGATCTTTCCCACCCTTTCCCTGTTGAGACCCGTTCCCCCCTTTTATTCCCTAAAACCTTCCCGCCTGGGATCTTTTCCCTTTCCTCCCTGACATCTTTCCCCCTCCTTTCCCTGTTGAGATCCTTTCCCTCCTTTCCCCCCTAAGGCCTTTCCCCCCGCTGGATCTTTCTCGCTTTTCCTCCCTAAGATCCTTCCCCTTTTTTCCGATTGAGATCCTTTCCCCCCTTTCCCTTCTGAGTTCTTTTCTCCCAGATCTTCTCCCTTTCCTCCCTAAGATCTTCCCCCCCGTTTCCTCCCTAAGATCTTTCCCTGTTGGGATCCTTTCCCCCCTTTCCCTCCTATGGCCTTTCCCCCCCCTGAGGGCTTCTCCCTTTTCCTTCCGAAGATCTTTTCCCTTCTTTCCCCGTTGGCCTTTTTTCCCCAGATCTTCTCCCTTTCGTCCCTAAGATCTTCCCCCCCGTTTCCTCCCTAAGATCTTTCCTGTTGGGATCCTTTCCCCCCTTTCCCTCCTATGGCCTTTCCCCCCCTGAGAGCTTCTCCCTTTTCCTTCGTAAGATCTTTTCCCTTCTTTCCCTGTTGGCCTTTTTTCCCCAGATCTTCTCCCTTTCCTCCCTAAGATCTTTTCCACCCCTTTCCCTGTTAAGATCATTTCTCCCCTTTTCCCGCTAAGGCATTTTTCCCCAGATCTTTTCCATTTCCTCCCCAAGATCTTTTCCCACCTTTCCCTATTGAGATCCTTTCCCCCCTGTCCCCCCTAATGCCTTTTCCCACCCTCAGTTCTTCTCCCTTTTCCTCCCAAAGATCTTTCCCCCCCTTTCCTCCCTAAGTCCTTTTCCCCTTGAGATCCCCTAAGATCTTTTGCCACCTTTCCCTGTTGAGAGCCTTTCCCCCCTGAGGCCTTTTTTCCCCCCTTTCCTTGTTGAGATCCTTTCCCCCCCTTTCCCCCCTAAGGCCTTTTCCCTGCCCAAGATCTTCTCCCTTTGCCTCCCCAAGATCTTTTTCCCCGGTTGAGATCCTTTCCCCCTTTCCCCCCGAGATCTTCTCCTTTTCCTTCCTTAGGATCTTTTCTCCCTGTCCCTGTTGAGATCCTTTCCCCCCCTTTCCCCCCGAAGGCCCTTTCAGATCTTCTCCCTTTTCCTCCCTAAGATCATTTGCCCTCTTTCCCTGTTGAGATCCTTTCCCCCCAAAGGCCTTTCCCCCCCTGAGATCTTAAGGCCTTTTCCCCCTGAGATCTTCTCGCTTTTCGATCCTTCCCCCCCTTTCCCCCCCAAGGCCTTTTCCCCCCCTGAGATCATATCAATTTTCCCTAAGATGTTTTCCCCGCATTCCTGTTGAGATCCTTTCCCCCTTTCCCCCCTAAGGCCTTTCCCCCCCTGAGATCTTCTCCCTTTTCCTCCCTAAGAGCTTTTCCCACCTTTCTTTTTTGAGATCCTTTCCCCCCCTGTCCCCCCTTTGGCCTTTTCCCACCTTGAGTTCTTCTCCCTTTTCCTCCCTAAGATCTTTTCCCCCCTAAGGCCCTTTCTCCCTCTGAGTTTTTCCCTTTTCCTCCCTAAGATTTTCCCCCCTCTCCCTGTTGCGATCCTTTCCCCCCTTTCCCCCCTAAGGCCTTTTTTCCCCCCGCGATCTTCCCCCTTTTCCTTCCTAAGGTCTTTTCCCCCCTTTCCTTGTTGAGACCCCCCCCTTTCCCCCCTAAGGCTTTCCTCCCTAAGATCCTTTGCCCCCTTTCCCTTTTGAGATCCTTTCCCCCCTTTCCCCCCTAAGGCCTTTCCCCCCTGAGATCTTCTCCCTTGTCCTCCCAAAGATTTCCGAGATCTTCTCCCTTTTCCTTTTGAGATCCTTTCCCCCTTTCCCCCCTAAGGCCTTTTCCCCCCGGGATCTTTTCCCTTTCCTCCCTCATCTTTCCCCCCTCTTTCCCTGTTGAGATCCTTTCCCCCCTTTCCCCCCTAAGGCCTTTCCCCCCGCTGAGATCTTCTCCCTATTCCACATTTCGATCCTTTGCCCCCTTTCCTTGAGATCCTTTCCCCCCGTCCCTTTAAGGCCTTTCCAGATCTTCTCCCTTTTCCTTCCTAAGATTGTTTCCACCCTTTCCCTGTTGAGATCCTTCCCACCCTTTCCCCCCTAAGGCCTTTCCCCCCCTGAGAGCTTCTCTCTCCCTTTTTCCTTCCAAAGATCTTTCCCCCCTTTCCCTGTTGGCCTTTTTTCCCCCAGATCTTCTCCCTTTCCTCCCTACGATCTTTTCCACCCCTTTCCCTGTTGAGATCATTTCTCCCCTTTCCCCTCTAAGGCCTTTGCCCCCAGATCTTCTCCCTTTCCTCCCTAAGATCTTTCCCCCCCTTTCCCCCCTGAGGCCCTTTCCCCCGCTAAGACCCTTTCCCCCTGAGATCTTAAGGCCTTTTCCCCTCTCAGATCTCTTTGCTTTTCCTCCCTAAGATCTTCTCCCTTGACCTCCCTAAGATCCATCCCCTTTTTTCCGGTTGAGACCCTTTCCTTCTAAAGCATTTTCTCCCCAGATCTTCTCCCTTTCCTCCCTAAGATCTTTCCCCCCCGAAGATCTTTCCAACCCTTTCCCTGTTGAGACCCGTTCCCCCCTTTTATTCCTTAAAACCTTTCCCCCCTTGGATCTTTTCCCTTTCCTCCCTGACATCTTTCCCCCTCCTTTCCCTGTTGAGATCCTTTCCCTCCTTTCCCCCCTAAGGCCTCCTTTCCCCCCGCTGGATCTTTCTCCCTTTTCCTCCCCTAAGATCTTTTGCCACCTTTCCCTGTTGAGGCTTTCCCCCCGTTCCCCCCTGAGGCCTTTTTCCCCCTTTCCCTGTTGAGAACCTTTCCCCCCTTTCCCCCCTAAGGCCTTTCCCCTGCCCGAGATCTTCTCCCTTTGCCTTCCCAAGATCTTTCCCCCGGTTGAGATCCTTTCCCCCTTTCCCCCCGAGATCTTCTGCCTTTTCCTTTCTAGGATCTTTTCTCCCTGTCCCTGTTGAGATCCTTTCCCCCCCTTTCCCCCCGAAGGCCCTTTCAGATCTTCTCCCTTTTCCTCCCTAAGATCATTTGCCCCCTTTCCCTGTTGAGATCCTTTCCCCCCTAAGGCCTTCGCCCCCTGAGATCTTAAGGCCTTTTTCCCCCCTGAGATCTTCTTTCTTTTCGATCCTTTCCCCCCCTTTCCCCCCCAAGCCCGTTTCCTCCCCCTGAGATCATATCCCTTTTCCTCCTTTTTCCTCTCTAAGATGTTTTCCGCGCATTCTCGGTGGAGATCCTTTCCCCCCTTTCCCCCCCAAAGGCTTTTTCCCTCCTGAGATCCTTTCCCCCCCTGTCCCCCCTAAGGCCTTTTCCCACCCTGAGATCTTCCCCCTTTTCCTCCCTATGATCTTTTCCCCCCTTTCCCGCTTAAGATCCTTTCCCCCGTTTCCCCCCTAAGGCCTTTTCCACCCAAGATCTCCACCCTTCTCTTCTCAAAGTCTTTTTCCCCCTTTCCCGTTTGAGATCCTGTCCCCCCAGGGCCCTCTAGGGCCTGTTCCCCCCGAGAAAGATTTCCCAAAGATCTTTTCCCCCCTTTCCCCCCTAAGGCATTTTTTCCCCAGATCTTCTCCCTTTTCTCCCTGAGATCTTTCCCCCCCTTTCCCTGTTGAGATCCTTTCCCCCCTTTCCCCCCCTTCATTTCCAGATGTTCCTTCACCAGCATGGGCAACATCCCCAGCATCACTTGCATCATCCGCATCCTTGGCAGGCGCTGATGCGGATGATGCAGGTGATGCTGGCGATGTGCCGCTGGGGCTGCTAAGGATGCGAAAGCGGACCCGGGGGGCATCGAACACCCCAATGTTTTTGACAAACTGAGCCTGCAGAATGAACAGATTTAGTGAAGCGTCTTCGAATCACGCGTGGTACGTTGACTGGTCTGAACTGGTGCCCCTGGGGAGGGGTAAGGGGAGGGGTAACAGGTAAAGAGGTAAGGAGCATTTCTTATGTCCAACACGCTGTCTGTTGTCGGCGGATTTTGAGAGGTAGAAATTATACTAGAATCATGTTCTTTTGAGATCCATTTAACTCTTCCTTGGGAAAGACCTTCTCTTTAAGATATATTTTGAAGTAAGGATCCCAATTAGCGATGTTCCTCAGAAATGGAAATTCTAGTCAAGTCACCTTTGAGTCTATAAAGTCTAGTTGGTGTTGACGCTGAATTGCCATTTGAATTATAGTTCGAAAATTGCACAACTCATCCTGGACAGATACATCATGTTGAAAAATGAGTTCCAATTATTGAAAACCGTCTTTTCGCAAACCTATGTAAAGTACCTTTAGTGCTAGAATCTCGCTAGAGCCATGTTTGAATTATGCTGAAATATGACAAAAGAATCAACCCGTTTGAACATCTAATTTCATACAAGAATCTGATTACAAGTCGTGTTCGACAAGGACATCCAATGTAAAAACAAATATATGCTAGAAACTCTACTAGGGTTTGTTCCTTACAGCAATTCCATGTCAATTTTTCCTTCAAGTCTATTCTGATAAAAAAATGAAATCTAATGATTGTCTAATCCTCATCGACTACTTTGAACTCCAAGCAAAAAACACAAGCAAGCTAAACACAAAAGTGAGTATACTTCAACGCCTTTGACCGCCGACATTACAGGCCTGCTTGCTTATACGTGTCGATTTTGCCCTTTGTCCCTATGGATTTTCCACCTTTTTTCCAATAAAGAATTCTTCCTTTGGCATTGTCCTATTGGACTTTTCCATTGGAATTATCCTAGAAGCCATTCTACCCACTGGATTTGGTTTCCCTTTGGAGTTTCTCCATTGGAAGTCTCCCATTGAATTGTTTGTGTGGAGTTTGTCCCTTTGGAGTTCTCCCTAGAATTCTCTCTTTTGCATTTTGTATTCGATTTTTCCCTATTGCATGTTCCCCCTTTGTTTTCACGTTGGACTTTGGAATTGTCACTTTGGACATTGTCCCTTTTGGAAGGGCTTACTTACTGATAGCATGTGTATCCATTATAATTGTCAGGTGTGTATTAATATTTCAAGATGTCTAGCAATCAATTCAACCAATTAAGCCACTCAGTTTAAAGATGTTCAGCCATGTTTTTCGATTTTGAGAGTTTGAGCCCTTGGGATTCAAAGATTAGAATAGCACGGTAAGCCACACAGGTTTGAAGATTGTGAAGAATTCGGTTTTTTCTTTCAGAGTTTCATCCGGTTAGATGTTCAGGTTTTCAGATGTTTTCAGCCATTTTTATCCCAGGTCAAGCCACTAAGATTTGAAGATGCTCAGCTATTCCTATTTTTTGATTGTTAAGCCAGTAAGATATTATCACGTTAAGTCACTAAGACTTCAATATTTCACTCCAACAAGATTCTAAGGTTTGAAGCCATTTAAGGTCCTACCTAACACGTTAAGCCACACAGATTTAAGGATTGTAAGCCATTCGAGTTTTTTTTAGGCTTTCAGCTTTTCAGCCATCAAACAAATTTAAGATTAGCCATCAAGGCCACGATTGTAAGATGGTCAGCCACGGTTTTGTGTGTTGAAACCATTAAGATGATCTTAAGCCATTCAGATGTTCAGACTTTATGTTAAGATTTCACTACTTTCAGTTTTTAAGCCCAGTTTTTTCAGAGTCGCCATCAATATGTTCAGCATCGTAATGGCTGAACATTTTGGATGCCACAAGACGCGAATAGGCTTCATTTCCAGATAATGCTGGTGCTGTCGATGTTGCGGAGCTGAGAATGCAAAAGCGGACTCTGGGGGAGTCGACCACCCCAAGGTTTTTTTCCTCGCTCCGTATGAAGGGATTTAATAAGGGAATGTCTTGGAATCACCGCGTGGTACGCACCCCCGGCGACCATTCGGCGAGACCCAAAAGTCAAAAGTAACGAAGCCAAAGAAGTTGTGTCAAGCCAATGACCCACAAGTATAGAAGGAGACAAAAGATGAAAACGCTGTTAAAAAGGTAAAACAACAAATGAAAAGCGAATGATTTCACCAAAAATAAGCAAAGCAACAAACAAATTAGTCCATAGTCTGAAGAAGAAGTTATCTGGCCCTGCGGTGATTTTTTTCTTTGGGCCATTGGCTCCAAAGTTTAACTCCTTTACAGTTTCATTTGTCGGCCAATGGCTCCAACATAGCTGTTGTTTTGCATCTTTTCACAAAACCTCAGCTTGAAAATAGAGGCAGATCCAAACCGACTGGATTCAAGATTCCCTGGAAAAGCTTGGCCTGAAGCTTCCAGGTCGTTGGAAGCGCGCCTTTTCTCTCTTTCAAAGCCCCAATGCCAGAAAGCACTGCACTCTGAACTCTGAAGGAAGGTAGATCCATGCGGAGGGCGTTGCCATAAAAGAGCAAAAGCGTGTGGTGCAAAATGAGTCGGGATGATGTGAGTGAGGATAGCCGGCCTCCGGGGTTCAACGGGATCATCCAGCAGTACGGCTGCACCGGCGTCACGAAGGCCTTCACTCGCCGTCGCTCGATCGTTCGGTCGGCTGCCATCGGGAGGTCACGGACGCGCTGAGCCGCCGCAGCTCGGACGTCGCCTTCGGCCAGCTGCTGGAGGACTTGGAAGACTTCCATCCCTGCGGGCCGGCGCCCGATGATTGAAATTGAAATTGAAATTCTGAATGAATCGCGCTGGTTGCCGCCCACCAGGTTAGTGTCTATGTCCATTTTCACTGACCAATTTAGGCGCATGCTGCGTGAGATTGCCAGAGACGTAGGAAAGTCCATGCCAGGCTGACGCACACCGAAGGTGGCATAGTCGAGGTTGATGAGACAGACCTAGCTTTGCCTTCGGACTCGGACCGGGTGACCGGCGACGTGTTTTTTCTTCTTTTTTCCAGTCATAGTTCCACTGGTCAGGACTTGTACGAGCCCTGGATCGTGCCAGTCCTTGAGACCAATGGCAACAGCACAGTCGAGAAGTTTCAGGCCGCCCTTTGCAAGTCACTCAGAGAGCACTTGCTGCGAGCCTCAAGAAATGTCTTTTGAGCGACTGGTGGCCCAGAGCGGCAGTACGATTTCAACTTCACGAGAGAAGTGATGGATCACCGCGACAGGTGGAAGGTGTTCGAAGCTGGATACCAGGCAGGAGGAACAATTGTGTCACAAGCGCAGCAGTTGCCTCTTTTCATGCTGTGATTTCCAACGTGATTTGCTTGCCATTTGAGATGCAAACAGTGTTAACAGTTCAAGGATGTTCCTTGCATCAAGTCTGAGATCGAACCTTCTTGGAGCACCTGAAGGTTTGGTACAGAACGCCAGTGGTGGCCTTGGCGACTTACGACTCGCGACTTGCGGGCAAGCCGGATGTGAGGTCGCGCCCTACGTGCGGCATTTGTGGGCGAGAATCCCTGGTGGGTCGGATCCCCACAGCTATCAAAACCTGGAGGATGAATTTGTTTGAGTTTCCGTGTTGACAGATCCTTACAAGTTGGGTCTTGATTGGAAAGTTTTGGTAAATTTGGCTATGACTCGCATGACTACGCAAGAGTCCCTCCAAGGCTTGTTGCCGGTCGATATAACCTCACCTTCCCGGTGAACAGTCCCATCTGGACGGAGATGTGAGGGCCCCAAGCCTGTCGCTGCCTTGCTCCACGGGGGCGCGCGGAGCGCACGGAGCGCACGGAGCGCACGGAGCGCACGGAGCGCACGGAGCTCACGGAGCGCACGGAGCGCACGGAGCGCACGGAGCGCGGCATGGCCGAGGTGGGGTTTGGAGGCCAAGCGGGTCATCTTCTCCCAGAAGTCCCTCAGCCACATGGGCAGGTGCAGCGGGTGCCGTTGCGACAAGTCGAACCCGGAAAGTCTCAATCCACTTTGATCTTTTGACCGAAGCGAAGCGAGGCAAAAATCATTACGGGAGAGGCACTCGAAGCGAACGAGAGTGGGAGACGCTCGGCCCAGTCCTGGGGCGTCCTTCACCTTGGCGGCGCTCTGCTGCATCGTGGCCTTTGCCGCGCACCAAATCCAAATCGACTTCTTAAAGAAACATGTATCATATTGTGATTTATGATATTGTCAAGTTATGCTGTATATATATATATATATATTATCTTTGTCTCTCTCTTTTGGACTTGTTTCTTGTTTGTCTTTTTGTGTTTCGTGGTTTCCCTTTTAGCCCGGTGCAAGCCGGCCGGGATCGAGGTGGAGTTTGTGGTTGCGCTAGCTCTGCTCGTCGGTGGCAAGGCTTCAGGTCAGAGGCCGATGCTTTTTGCAACGACCAGAGCCCTGTGGGTCTTCTATGGGTCGAGTCTTGGCATCGAGGCGGGCTGCCATCCACCCGGACTGAGATAGCTGGGACAGCCGAAAGCCCTCGCAGTGCGGACATTTTACATCAGACAGGCAGTGGGCCACAAACTGTGAACCTTTTTGCCGCTGTTCTGTTTCAAGTCTCACAAATCAACGAGTTAGAGTTAGGCACTCCCAAATTGGGAAGCCTTAGCTACTCCACTGCAAAACCGATCAATTCAGTAAAACTCCCTCAATTTGATTTCCCGAGCACACAGCCCCAGCCCCAAATCGAAAGGGCAGTGGAAGGGCCAGTGCACCTGAGCATGGTGCGCAGCGCCTTCATTTTTTAGCAGAAAGTTTGGCAGTTTGCGGCAAGTTGTGCCATCTCGGCAGTTGCTTGCAGAATAGAAGAAAGCCGCTCACCTTGGTGGGACTGGACATCGCTATTTAAACTTCAGCTATTTGCCAGAAGCTGTGAATGTGTGTTTTTGATCCTTTCAAGTAACTAGTGAACTCAAGTCTCCAAGCCAAGGCCACGAGTGAATACCTGTCGCCATCCGGCTCAAGCTGGAGCTGCCAGTTTTCTGGCAGGTGACGGTCTCAGCTCTCAGGGCAAGTTTCGTATGTTTCAATGAGGTGAAGAATGAAGTTTTGGCCCTTGCTCCTCTTGGCCGCTGCCTTGGTCACTTCCGGCATTCCTTTTCGGAGCCCTCGGCCCTCGGCACGTGCCGAGGCTCAACTCCGCAATGGGCAAGCCAACGAGGAGCCTTGCAGCTCATTGCTGCATATGTCATTGTCTCTCGATGCCTCTCGACGCATCGCAAAGCGCTTAAGAGGCGACGCCCGTGCAGAAAGTGCTCGAGCTCCTGGGCAAGATGAAGGAAAAGGGCCAAGAGGTGTGGCGAAACATGCATTCGAAAAAGTGCCAAAGACGGGTGAACATGTCAGGAGAAGCAGAAGGAGGCTCTGCAGTTTGCAGCTTTTGAGCAATTCTGCAAGGGCACGGCGCCGAGTGCGTCTCCAGTTTGCATGCGCCTTCCGAAACCTTCCGAAATTCGAAATTCCAAGGCACGAGCGAAGAGAAGACGAAGGTCATCGAGGCCTCCACGGGACAACTGGAGATCCTCAAGGCGACTCCGCGGCTCCGCGACTCCGCGCGACTCGACTCCGCGGCTCCGCGGCTCGTTTTTGCGAGGCAGATCTGGGGAAACTCGCCACAGACATCGCGGATCTTGAAGCCGCGCTCCCGGATTTGACTGCGCGGGTCTCAGAGGCTTGGCCGCAAATCTCGAAGCTCATTGAGTAACTGGTGAGTCTGAGGCTGACATCGAAAAGTGGGAGGGCGAAAAGAAGAAGGCTACGGAGGCATTCCTCGAAAAGCGCACTGCTCCGGCATGCAGCAAATTCGTAGCAGGCACGACAGAAGCAGCACTCCGCATACACGGAGGCACATGCTGAGTCTCTGAAGGCGTGGACGATTTCGCATGCCTCTCTACACGCGGAATTGCAGAGATGAGGCTATCAAGAGCGTGGGCAAGGCGTACAAGTCTCTGAAGGATCAGAACTACGACCGCGAGGCCAAAAAGCTATCGGGATCGAACAAATACATACAAATAATATTAGCAGACTGGAACATAGAGTGAGAATCTTGTTTCAATCGCGCATGCTCGAGGCCAAGTCCTTCCTACAGCTTTCCGGCTTGGACGACCCTAGCAGCTCAGAGCTGGACGCGTTCACCTCGTCTTCGCAGGAGGGATGGTTTGATGTTGAGCAAGCAAAAAGTGTGCAAGCAATGCGGAAACATGCAGAAATGAGTCGGAAGGAGTCGGAATGGGGCTCTCTTGATCTCTCTTGTTTTCGCGAGGCGCGGGCGGCCATCGAAGCCTTCCTGGCTGAGAGTGCGGAAGTGAAGCCGAAGGATCGGAGAGTGCGGAGACAGGGAACTTCAAACGCGAGCGGGACGCAAAGGGACACGAGGATCATGTTACGGCAAAGCAAACCGAGAGAGACCAAGAGATAGAGAGCTTCGGTCAGTTCAAGGCGAGGTACTCAGGCAAACATAAGCACTGACGTCAACTCGCCTACAGAGGTGAAGTGTATTCGACTCATTGTCGCCCATTGAACATGGCTCAAGGTAAGCGAGAACAGACCTAGGAAATATACTGCGTTTGGTGAGCCAAGATATTGCGTGCTGATCAGGCTGCGGGCTACGAATTCCAATCTGGAAAGATTCTGGAGCTGCCAGAGCCCCATAGCACCCAAGTTACTTGTGGAAATGCACACAACTTTGCTGACAACACCTTTGTTTCATGAGTGACTTGTTTGGCCGAGGGAGAAAGGATTCGAGCAGTGTGCGTTTGTGTGATTCATGGAGGAATCTCACTGTCCTACAGGCAAGCAATTTACGGAAGGTGTGTGTGTGTGTACGTGCGCGAGCTGACTGTCTATATGTTGAGGATCCCTCTTGTGCGAGCTGCTACCGTCTTCGGATTTGAAATGATATGAAACAGAGCCAAGCCGAGAAAGAACATAAAAGCTCGGGCGATATCCCCAACAGCACCACACCCTCCCAGAATCCTCGCGGAACGCCGCGGGACCCACCTCGCCGCCGGTGTTGCTGGGGATGCCGCCTTGTAACTTTATGCTGCCCCGACGGCGCAATCGGGGCCCGATCAGGGCCCGACGGTGCAATCGGGGCCCGATTCGTCCCGTGGTGCAACCCCAGCCACCCATATTATAGCTCAACGTTTGTTTTCCTTAGGATGCGGCAATACAACTGTATCTAGCAAAACTAGGCGACGCCAGCTTGGTTCAGCCGGGCCCCGATCGAAGCGCGGGCTTCGGCGGTGCAATAGGGCCCCGATCTGTCCTGGGGAACCTCTCAAACCGTTCTCATGGAACGCTCGGAACTTTGTTGGAACCTTTCCTCACACCTCCGCCATAGCTTTTGCAGAACCTGGTGGAAACCTCGTGGAGCGCTTTTGGAACCTTACCCCCATGGCCCTTGCAGCCTCGTGGAATTCTTGGAACCCAAAGCTCAAAGCCAACATTTCGGGCCGCGTTGCCTGAGCAAGTGACAAAACAGTGAAAATTGTTGATTTCGGTTTTGCGTAGTGTTCCGCCCATGAGCAAAGCGATCTTCTGAGCCCTCAATTTACTGCTCCGATCATTTCTGGAACCCTTGTGGAACCTTGTGGAGCCTTGTGGAACGTTTGTGGAACGTTTGTGGAATCCTTGTGGAACCCTGTGAAACCTCGGCCGCCCCGGACCGTCCCACAGCCCTCGCAGAACCTCGTGGAACCCTGCTAGAACCCTGGTGGAACCTTCATGGAACCTTACCTTGCAGAACCCACAAACCACCGGGCCTGCTTCCTCAAACCACCCCAGACCACCCCGCACCCCTTGCAGAAAAAATGGATAAACCCGGAACCTTCCTCAAGCCACCCCCTTGCAGAAATTGGTGGAACCCTGGTCAAACCCTGGCCGCACCCCTTGCAGAAATTGGTGGAACCCTGGTCAAACCCTGGCCGCACCCCTTGCAGAAATTGGTGGAACCCTGGTCAAACCCTGGCCGCACCCCTTGCAGAAATTGGTGGAACCCTGGTCAAACCCTGGCCGCACCCCTTGCAGAAATTGGTGGAACCCTGGTCAAACCCTGGCCGCACCCCTTGCAGAAATTGGTGGAACCCTGGTCAAACCCTGGCCGCACCCCTTGCAGAAATTGGTGGAACCCTGGTCAAACCCTGGCCGCACCCCTTGCAGAAATTGGTGGAACCCTGTCAAACCCTGGCCGCACCCCTTGCAGAAATTGGTGGAACCCTGGTCAAACCCTGGCCGCACCCCTTGCAGAAATTGGTGGAACCCTGGTCAAACCCTGGCCGCACCCCTTGCAGAAATTGGTGGAACCCTGGTCAAACCCTGGCCGCACCCCTTGCAGAAATTGGTGGAACCCTGGTCAAACCCTGGCCGCACCCCTTGCAGAAATTGGTGGAACCCTGGTCAAACCCTGGCCGCACCCCTTGCAGAAATTGGTTGAACCCTGGTCAAACCCTGGCCGCACCCCTTGCAGAAATTGGTGGAACCCTGGTCAAACCCTGGCCGCACCCCTTGCAGAAATTGGTGGAACCCTGGCCGCACCCCTTGCAGAAATTGGTGGAACCCTGGTCAAACCCTGGCCGCACCCCTTGCAGAAATTGGTGGAACCCTGGTCAAACCCTGGCCGCACCCCTTGCAGAAATTGGTGGAACCCTGGTCAAACCCTGGCCGCACCCCTTGCAGAAATTGGTGGAACCCTGGTCAAACCCTGGCCGCTCCCCTTGCAGAAATTGGTGGAACCCTGGTCAAACCCTGGCCGCACCCCTTGCAGAAATTGGTGGAACCCTGGTCAAACCCTGGCCGCACCCCTTGCAGAAATTGGTGGAACCCTGGTCAAACCCTGGCCGCACCCCTTGCAGAAATTGGTGGAACCCTGGTCAAACCCTGGCCGCACCCCTTGCAGAAATTGGTGGAACCCTGGTCAAACCCTGGCCGCACCCCTTGCAGAAATTGGTGGAACCCTGGTCAAACCCTGGCCGCACCCCTTGCAGAAATTGGTGGAACCCTGGCCGCACCCCTTGCAGAAATTGGTGGAACCCTGGTCAAACCCTGGCCGCACCCCTTGCAGAAATTGGTGGAACCCTGGTCAAACCCTGGCCGCACCCCTTGCAGAAATTGGTGGAACCCTGGTCAAACCCTGGCCGCACCCCTTGCAGAAATTGGTGGAACCCTGGTCAAACCCTGGCCGCTCCCCTTGCAGAAATTGGTGGAACCCTGGTCAAACCCTGGCCGCACCCCTTGCAGAAATTGGTGGAACCCTGGTCAAACCCTGGCCGCACCCCTTGCAGAAATTGGTGGGACCCTAGCCGAGGCGCGCTCTCGGGGCGGCAGAAGTGGTGCCGGAACCGCGACAGCAGCGGGGCGCACCCCTTGCAGAAGTGGTGGAACCCTGGTCAAACCCTGGCACCCCTTGCAGAAATTGGTGGGAACCCTGGTCAAACCCTGGCACCCCTTGCAGAAATTAGTGGAACCTGGTCAAGCCGCCCAAAAGCGAGGGAAATCGGTCTACCAGGCCATCAGCAAAACTTAGCCGAAGTGATGGTCAAACCCTGGCCTTTCAACTTGCAGAAATTGGTGGAACCCTGGTCAAACCTGTTTTGCCAGAAATTGGTGGAACCCTGGTCAAACTGTAGCACCCAGAGGTGGTGGAACCCTGGTCAAACCCTGGCCGCACCCTTGCAGGGTAGTTGGAACCCTGGTCAAACCCTGGCACCTTGCAGAAATTGGTGGAACCCTGGTCAAACCCTGGCACACCTGTACAGAAGTGGTGGAACCCTGGTCAAACCCTGGCCGCACCCCTTGCAGAACTTGGTGGAACCCTGGCCGCACCCCTTGCAGAAATTGGTGGAACCCTGGTCAAACCCTGGCCGCACCCCTTGCAGAAATTGGTGGAACCCTGGTCAAACCCTGGCCGCACCACTTGCAGAAATTGGTGGAACCCTGGTCAAACCCTGGCCGCACCCCTTGCAGAAATTGGTGGAACCCTGGTCAAACCCTGGCCGCACCCCTTGCAGAAATTGGTGGAACCCTGTTCAAACCCTGGCCGCACCCCTTGCAGAAATTGGTGGAACCCTGGTCAAACCCTGGCCGCACCCCTTGCAGAAATTGGTGGAACCCTGGTCAAACCCTGGCCGCACCCCTTGCAGAAATTGGTGGAACCCTGGTCAAGCCATGCCCCTTGCAGGAATTGGTGGAACCCTGGTCAAACCCTGGCCGCACCCCTTGCAGGGTGGTGGAACCCTGGTCAAACCCTGGCGCACCCCTTGCAGAAATTGGTGGAACCCTGGTCAAACCCTGGCCGCACCCCTTGCAGAAATTGGTGGAACCCTGGTCAAGCCCTGGCCGCACCCTTGCAGAAATTGGTGGAACCCTGGTCAAACCACAGCCGCACCCCTTGCAGTGGTGGAACCCTGGTCAAACCCTGGCCGCACCCCTTGCAGAAAGTGGTGGAACCCTGGTCAAACCCTGGCCGCACCCCTTGCAGAAATTGGTGGAACCCTGGTCAAACCCTGGCCGCACCCCTTGCAGAAATTGGTGGAACCCTGGTCAAACCCTGGCCGCACCCCTTGCAGAAATTGGTGGAACCCTGGTCAAACCCTGGCCGCACCCCTTGCAGAAATTGGTGGAACCCTGGTCAAACCCTGGCCGCACCCCTTGCAGAAATTGGTGGAACCCTGGTCAAACCCTGGCCGCACCCCTTGCAGAAATTGGTGGAACCCTGGTCAAACCCTGGCCGCACCCCTTGCAGAAATTGGTGGAACCCTGGTGGAACCCTTGTTCCTCAAACCACCCCGCACCCCTTGCAGAACCCTGGTCAAACCTGGTGGAACCCTTGTGGAACCTTCCTCAAACCACCCCGCACCCCTTGCAGAACCCTGGTCAAACCTGGTGGAACCCTTGCTCAAACCACCCCGCACCCCTTGCAGAACCCTGGTCAAACCTGGTGGAACCTTCCTTCCTCAAACCACCCGGACCACCCCGAAACTCTGGTGGAATCCCGGCCCCGCAGCCCTCGCAGAATCTGGTGCAACCCTGGTGGATTCCGGTACCCCGCAGCTGGAACCCTGTGGAACCCCGGACCACCCGCAGCCCTTGGTGGAACGCCGGTGGAACCCTCGTGGAACCCTCGTCGAACCTTACCTCACCTCGTGGAACCTTACCTCAAAACCATCCGGACCACCTCGCAGAACCTGGTGGAACCCTGGTGGAACCCTCGTGGAACCTCACCTCAAAACCACCCGGACCACCGGCAGCCCTTGCAGAACCTGGTGGAACCCCGGAATCTCCGTGTTCGACCGAAGCGGATTCCGGGGACACAAGCACTTTGAGCTTTAGAGTCCACGATGGACGCGCTTAGTTCCCGCGCGGTGCGAGCTTCCGGCTTGGAACCTCCGGAACCTTGAGTAAAAAATACATGTCCTTGTCTTTGACGCCCCCGACCTGAAATGGCAAGGCCATTCAAATTGAGCCATGCGATAAAGCAGCAACCGTCTCAGGCTTGCATTTGTTGCCTCAGGTTGCAAAACCTGCAAACCAAGTTCAAGACTGAGCGTCCGGGCCTGAACCGTTTAGCTAGCTGCTGAAGCTGAGATATTTTGCTGCGTGAGTTGCACGAGTTGCATGAGTTGCATGCGGCATGGCGTGAACGTGAGGCGAAACCATTGAGAAGACGGAGGTGGACCAGCGGCACTCTTACGAGATGCTGCTGCAGGAGACTTGCCATCTGGGCTTCTGTCTTGCGAGTCGTGTGAGTTGATGAAACGCGTTGACTTTGAGACTAATTATTTCCGATCCCCCCAAAAGACATTCGGGGGGGACATTCTTATGCCCCGAGTCACGGCTCGGTCCTTTTCGGTCCCTCAGTCTCAGTCTTCTTTGGTCATCTGCCGCTCGCCCAAGTCCAAGTGCGGCCACTCCCCCCTTTTCACCACCGTTCACTTCAGATTCATTTGTTTATTGAAGTGGCAGGTAGTCAATGGATGGAATTCGCCCACGAGTGCACTCATGGCTAACTCACGTCCGATTCTGCACAAGATGGGAAAGGACATTCCTCTCAGATTCTCTAAGAAGCATGGCCGAAGCAGGGCCCGGACGCAAGCTGCGAATCTGCAACAGGTGTCCCATGATGCCCCTTCAGTTTTCTTGATGTGTCGTTCAAAAACGAGCAAGGATATCGCTCTCGAAAAGAATGAAAAGACATCACGAAAGCTATCGAAAGGGAGTCTGCTTCGACTTGTCTCCATGCTCGACATGTCGCAGGACTGGAAGTCGCAAATCTCAGGCGCGCAGAAGACGAGGGAGGACAAGCTCGCTGCCAAGCAGCGCAAGGACCAGGTCAAGGCCGCCTTGGCCGTCATTGCACGCATCCCATCGCATCGGATCGAGAGCACTCCAGGCGGAGAAGGAAGCAGCACTGCTGGAGACGACCAAGCTGAATGAGGCCTGGGCAGTTTGCATCAGTTTGCATAGCAAGGCACGTGGGATTTCCAAGGATGACAAGAAGTACCTGAAAGACTTGCAAGACACCTGCATGCAGAAGGCTCTCCATGGCCTCTGACCGCAAGCCGCGCAATTTTTTTTTGGCAAGGCCTCTGACTTCAAAGAGCGACAGCGCTTGCGCGGTGAGGACGGCGCGACCCGAGCGTCGGAGACGGATGTTCGAGAATGCGCTCGATGGAAGCGGATCGAAGGAGCTCGCTGCGATCGACAAAGCCACGGAGGCGATTCAGGCGATGCCATTGCTTTCCAAGCTCCGAAGCTGCGGTGAAGCTGCGGTGAAGCTGCGGTGAAGCAGTTGCAGCGGTTGCACTGTCAGGGGACCGTCTTGAAGGCGGCGCGCCCTTCCAAGGCGGGAAGTTCCAGCACCAGCGGCACCAGCCAACGAGCAGCTTAGGGGACATCTTTGGCAGCCCTCCGGTCGGACACTTTTGGCGCTCGTCTCAGGTTGCCCGAATTTGCCCGACTCATTCGACTATGGTCCAGACTGAGGTGTGAAGAGGGAGCGAGCCATCTCCATGCTGCGAGAGCGGGCAGAGGAAGCACCTTGGCATGGCGTTTGAGAGTGCCTTGAACGATTTGACAGGAGTTGGAGAGCAACATGCTCTCTTCTCTAGCGTTGAGAGTGGCCGGGCTCCTAAGCCCGTGAGGGCCCTGACTTGAAAAAATATTAAATGTGCCAAGTGGCCAAGGAGGGGAACGGCTTGACCAAGATCCGAGGGATGATCTCGGTCGAGTGCCCAGATCGCTTCCAGAAAAACGGCGCTGGAGACTTTGAGCCTGGAAGCAGATCTGAGGACTTGATCACTCGGCTGCAGGAGGAAGCAGCAGCAGACACGGAGAAGGCTTCGCTTCCGGCCATCGAATGCTTCGGATTCCACAAGACTCAGCGACTCAGCACTCAGCCGGCAGGAAGGCTGGTGCAAGAAGGAGCTTGCCAGTAATGCCCCGCTCTCAGTGAGAGATGGGGGCATGCCGGGGGCGTGCGGTGCAACGCCATGTGAGGAACAGACCAGGACTAAGAAGCAGCAACAGATGGAGACCCTGCAGACTGAGTGGCGTTCTCAGCTCAAATGCGCGGCTTTCATGGGTGTATTCCTACTTGATGCCATGAGCTATTTTTGCAGGGCAATGCTGAAGAGTTCTTCTGCAATAGAAAGCGCAAGTAGGAGTGACTTATGGGCAAGCCCAATCCGCAGAGCTGCAATTGCCGCTGGTACGTGGCATTTCAATATGTTGGTTGGAGCCCGTGCGCTGTTTCCAGCATGATGCTCACTCGAGGTTCGATCAGCTGCAAGTTGATATCACGGAGTTGGGGGACTCCATTGATGCCTTGTCAAAGGCGGATGCTTTGGGACTTGCGACCGCTTGCGCGGTTTGGTTTGTTTGGAGGACGTTACAAAGCTCAATGCAGACCGCTCCACTGCTACGAAGCTCAGAGACGATGAGAAGGCCCAGCGCAACCATGCTGCACCCTTTGGGCACGACTCTCTTTTGCTCGGAGACGTGTTAACTTGTTTCGTATTTTGTCCGAGTTGTTTCGTGTTCAGGCCGAGAACCTTGCAACTGTCAAGGATGCGCAAGATGCCCAGAAGGCCATCGCGCAGGCTTGGTATCTCCCAGTGTCCCTTTGGCATTGACTCATTTGGCATGTATTTGGCATGCATCTGGCATGCATCTGGCATGCATCTGGCATGTATTTGAATCTATTTGAATCTTTCTGAGTCTATTTGACATGAGCGATCAATGCTGAAAGGCTTTGCGCATGCATCGTATTGTGCCGCGGCCAGGCTGTCGCCGCACTCGACAGCTTCTACTCCAGTGCTCAGGGTTGCCCAGGGGTTGCCCAGGGGTTTAGCTGAGGTTCTCATAGTCAAAACTTGTCCGCGGAAGCTTGCAGGTCTGTGCCCAGAGCTTTGAAGACCTTTTGTTCTGAGTACCCTCGCGTCCAAATTGACACGACTCGCGCAAGTCCGGATGGTTTCGCGGAAAGTAGCCCAAGTCAACAGGTAGGCACCGCTCAGATCTGGGCTGACTGCAAGGTACGAAAGCCAAGGCTGGGACTGACACGTGTCACAGTGAGATCTCGCGGCTCGCTGGCTGGAGGCCAGCTTGGTCCAGGTGCAATCAGCTTGGCACTCGAGAGAGATGCTGAGATACTTGCATCTAGATGTGACATTGACATCCTTGGCATCTTATGCGCTCAGGTAGATGCGCCAGATATTTTTGAGGACGCTTCGTACACCGGCATGGAGAGCGGCGGAGTCACCGCTCTGCTGGAGGCGAATTGTTCGAATCGGATCGAAGCGGCTTGGAAGCGGCTTCGCGCAGGTCTTGCAGGCGGACTTCTCCCGAATGGAGACCGACACGGAAGCGGCCGAGGATCGCAAAGCGCAAATCGGCAAATCGGCAACTCCATCAATGGAATGAATCGAATGAATCGAGGCACGTGTAAGTTTAGAGGCGCAGAGTTTGGGCGAGTACACCAAGTTCATGTCCGATTCAGCCGTGGACAAGGTGAGCTTTGAGCGAGCTTTGAGCGAGCTTCAAGCTGCATTTGCTGCAAATGACAGGCCGCCAAGGAGAAGGAGGTGGAACTGAAGACGGCCTGGAAGCTGAGAACTCTTTGCTTCCATTTCTGTCGACTTGTCGACTCACGTTGGAATGCAACCTTGATGTACGGATTGCAGGCCTCAAAGAGCGAGAAAGCCAATGCTCTGGCTAGCAAGAAGATTGATTTGAAGGATGCCGAAAAGGAGCGGTTCCATGTCGATCGGCATTCACCACGGCGAGCGCTTTCCTGATTTATGATGTGCTGCTTTCTATCCGCAAACGCTGGAAGGCGTTGTCTGCTGCCGCTGAGTACTACGAGGCTGGGAGTGAGGCGCGTGCAAGGCGCGTGCGGATTTCGTATCAGGAGTTAAAGCCGCAGTGCCTGGCGCCGGCGATGACCAAGGAGGAGAAGATGGAAAAACGGAAGCAGGACATGGCGTGAGGATGCCTGTGACATGTGCTGAATTGTGCTCACATGCCAGGAGATCCAGTCCTTGAAAGACGTCTTAGACGCACTTCAGGGCACAGTGAGTTGAGCCGACGGAGCTCTGTCAGAGAGCTGTACAAAGAGTCAAGTGGATGCTCCAGTTGCCACGCCTCAAGCGGCTTGCCTTGACCTTTCCGTTTGCCGTACGGCCTTCCTATCTCGAGCACTGCTTGTAGCAGCTTATAGGGGGGCACAGAGAAAGCCAAAGACATCACATCCCGAACGCTTCCGGAAAATCCCCCCCCCCCCCAACACACAAGAGTTGGCAGACACCCTGAAGCCCGTCGGAGCTATGGCTAGCATGTCTCCAGACGAGGCCAACAGTAACACAGTGCAAACGCTTCGAAAGATTGAAAGATTGAAAGGTTTGTCGGTGACGTGTGCCCTCCTTTGGGAGGAAGAGGCAGTGGCTGCACAGATGGCGGCTGAGAGCTCTGCATGGCACCCAGTTGGGTAACATGCCACCGTACATCCCTGGACATGCCTGACTGGTTAGGTGAAGCTCCCACAGTCTGAAGCCATCATGGAGGCAACAAGTGTAGAAATGCAACGAAGCGAGTGCAAGACACTGAAAGGCGATCATTCGGTCTTCCAAGCCACTGCCCATAGGCACGCTGAATGTGAAAACTGAACATATCCAGCTGGGATGCGCTTATGTGCTTTGTAGGACCCACGGAGGAAGCTGAGCCGGCACCCCAGTTGAACATTTGCTTGGCATGAAGCTGGCCCGGCAAGGCTTTGCGACTGGAAGCGGCTTGACAGGCGGACATGGTGTTCTGGCTTTGAGTGTAAAGATTCGTCTCGCCAGGATTCTGCTGAAATTTTCCGATCCTCTTGCTACTTCCTCAGAATGCGAAAAGCATTTGGAGCGCCTGCTATGGATTTTGCATTTACTATTTCGATGCCATTGTGGAAGCATGGACGCCTTTCGCTCAGTTTGGATCTTTCAGGTGCCATGGCTGCGATGCCGTTGGCTGTTCTTCGTGTCTCTGGAGCTGGGCTTCGGCCTGCGGATTTACGCCTTGGAGGACGGCCGACTCGGAGTGTCACGACTCGTGTGCGGTGTCGGTTTTCCGATGATTCGCGCCGTGCTTTTCTGGCAGCGCCACTTCTTTGCGGTCTACATCCTGGCCATCTACTTCTTGAACCAGGCGCATGGTGCATGGTGCAAAGTGGGACTTGAGGCATCCTGTGGCCTGCCTTGACCCGGGTTGCAGGTGCTGCTGTTTTTGTCGCCAGCCACGGAGGAGCGAAGACACGCGATACGCCACATGAACCACAAAAGGCCACGACGCGTAGCGAAGCGATGCACAATGAAATGCAATGATCGCAAGGATGACCACCTCCCTGCCCGCACGCACAGCAGCGAGTGCCCGCAGATGGCACGTCCCACCCAACAGCAAATTCAAATTTGCCCCAAACTTCGGGCCAAGTCCTGGAATGACGGTCCCGGTCCCGTCAAGCTACCCTTGCTTTTAATCCAACAGGGGCTACTCCAAAGATTAAAAGACGAGCCACCCATCGGGAGATCCATTGCGGAAGTTAATGAAGTGAAGCTCAATAAGCCCCACAATCTAACCTAAGCTGCAGCTGGCCCTGTTGTTTTTTCTGGTTTCAGAAGCTGCAACAGCGTCAAGGCCGTGTAGTATTTACAATTTCAAAGCGTGTTTCCTTGAATAGCGGCTTCAAGCAATCAAAAGCAGAGCTGTAGCAGGTTGGCTCAAGTGTTTGGAAGCAGTATGCTCAAGAAAAAACTATATCCAAGTCTGAGGAAAGTCCATCATTCGCATTTGTGTTGTGGGTGTCAGTGTTGAGAATGTGTTTTCATGGGCAGATCCGAGAATTGCTTGATCCATCGATGCGAGGTGATCCCTCTCAGGTACCGGCCCTTTGTCCGCGCCCTGTCAGAGTTTCGCCTTTGGTGTCGAGGAACATAATGCTTGGTGTGTTTCGTTCTTGCATGTTTTGCATTCGGTTACACCGGTTGCACAATGCCTTGCAGGAACCTTGGCTACAGTGGCGGCACTGGTTGTCACATGTTTCGACGACCTGGACCTAGACGTGGACGGTGCCAGCGGTTCGGCTTTGTTGGCCTTTGGGTTGTGACATGCGTAGCCTCGTCAGGGCAAGCTCTCCTGGTCTACTTTGTGCTTTTGTTCATTTACACCATGAAGCAGCAGGCCACGCGTGAGTGCAGCCCTGGCATTTCTGACCCAATCGGCCAGATCATGCACATGATCCAGTACGGCTATGTGCCGTGGAACAAGTCCAAGAAAAGGGTGCTCAGCTTAGCTTGAAGAAAGCTTCCAGGCAGTCAGGGCGTGCATTGGGGAGACCGCAGGCTCAGAAGGAGGAGTCAATGGACGTTTGACACCGGACGCAAAACATGCAGATGTGCTGTGCTGCGAACTAGGAGGGAGTGTGATGGCATCTTGGGGGCTGACCTTCAAAACAGGGGAGAGAGTGAGAGACAGAAAAGAAAAAGGAAGAAAAAAGAGAGAAGCACGAAGAGCAAGAGAAAGAGAGATCTCAAACTACATATTGGGTTGCCAGGGGGGTTTGCCCGGACCGAATGACGGTCACTCTTGGACGTGGGTTGGGAATTGTTCAAATCCTATGCGAATAGCAGCGAATCGTGGCGTCGGTGGGACCACTGGAAAGTTTGGAAATGTCCAACTTTGCGTATTCGAATCTCAGATTCGAACACGTGGTGCTGGCAGGCGCAGCATTCTCATTTGCTCGAAGCAGTCTCCAGGACTGCTTGACTCTCTTAGTGAGAGACCTTCAGAATGCCACCAACACTTGCATGCAGCTGTAGGCCGGGCTGCCTTGTATATGCGAAGCAGACAAGTCATGAGCTGCGCTGATAACTTGCTGACAGAACTTCCGTTCCTGCACGGCACTGAAAGCGCAGCGGAGACAAAGACCAGCTTTCGGAAAGGTAGCTGCTTCAAACGCAAGAAGACCCCAAGCCCTCTTAGACACCAGGTATCTAAAACCACCTGTGGCAAAGTCAGCGTGTCAGATAAGCAAATGGGACTGCGCAGCCTAGAGCGCGCAGATAGCGGAGAAGTCGCATGGCGTGTGGGGCTGGGGGGTCGACTAGCTTGAAACACAGGTCGACACGCCGTGTTCTCCCCCCTCAACAGCGCTGCGCGGGGCAGCATGAAAGTCCGGGCAACCCCCCCCGCAACCCAACATGTTGCACTACTTTGCTATGCGCGCGCCTGTATACTACCGCACCTTGAGTCTCATTACTACATGAGAGCCCATTGCAAAAGGCGCGCTGCAGACTACAGGTTGACTGCTTGTGAGAACAACACTTCAGCGCTTACACTTGTAGTAATTTGTCAATTTGATTGTAACGTGGTAGCGGAGCTGAGGTCCCATACATAGGGGAGCTCCAGCACAGTATGTTCAAGAACCGCAACGGCAAACGCGTGCCAAACTACCACGACATGTCAGGAGAACCCGCAGCAGCATCAGCTCAGCACACTACAGGAACAGAGAACGGGCCAACAGCAGCAGAGACGGTAACAGGAACAACACAGGAACGAGACAACGACGCCCAAACAGTACACAAGTACACCTCACAGTACGGATGGCTGTTCAAGCTGCAAGCCTATCTCGAACTCATAGACCGAGACTGCGACCTGGTAATATGACTAGCTAAGACACTTGTGGCTCCTTACCCTACCAGCGCAGTTCTTCAGAATTGCTTGGCGCGGTGCCCGTCTGCCTTGCGGCTAAAAGTATTCGAACAGCAGTTTTGGGGCTGCGCCGCCCACACCGTGGTCTAGCGCGCATTTTGAAAGTACAAAGTGAACCCCCTGCGCACTTTGGGCGGGTCGAATCGCTCTCGCTGTGGCGCGGTGCGCTTTTTGAAAACGCAAAGCGAACCCTCTCCGCACATTGGGTGGGTCGAATCGCCCTCGCTGCGGCGCCATGCGCATTTTGACGCTTCAAAGCGGGCCCTCCTTCAGAAGTGTCGCTGTCGACGAGAAGTGTCGGTGAGACGTGTTGCTCAGAGGCGTTGCTCAGACCGTCGATCAGAAGTCAGAAGTGTTGCGCAGAAGTGTCGCCCAGAAGCATCAGAAGTGTGGATCAGAAGTGTGGATCAGAAGTGTGGATCAGAAGTGGTGCTCAGAAGTGTCGAAGTGTCGATCGGAAGTATTGCTCAGAAGTGTCGCGCAGCACTGTCGCTCAGAAGTGTCGAACAGAAGTGTTGCTCACAGGTGTTGCTCCGAAGTGTCGATCAGAAGTGTCGCTCAGAAGTATCGATCAGACGCGTGGATCAGACGTGTTGCTTGGAAGTGTCGATCAGAAGTGTTGCTCAACATGGAAATGTTGCTCAGATGTGTTGCTCAGAAGTGTTGCTTGGAAGTGTCAATCAGAAGTCGTCTTTGACAGAAATGTCACTCAGAAGAGTCGATCAGAAGCATCGATCAGAAGTGTTGCTCAGAAGTGTCGCTCAGGAGTATCGATCAGACGCGTGGATCAGTTGCTTGGAAGTGTCGATCAGAAGTGTTGCTCAACACGGAAATGTTGCTGCTCAGAAGTGTTGCTTGGAAGTGTCAATCAGAAGTCGTCTTTGACAGACATGTCACTCAGAAGAGTCGATCAGAAGTGTGGATCAGAAGTGTTGCTCAGAAGTGTCGCTCAGCGCTGTGAATCAGAAGTGTGGAACAGAAGCTCAAAGTGTTGCTAAGAGCTAAGAAGTGTTGATGAGCAGTGTGGATCGGAAGTGTTGGTCAGAAGTGTCTCTCAGAACGGTCGGTCAGAAGTGTGGGTGAGAAGTATGGATCAGAATTGTCGCTCAGGAGTGTCACTCAAAAGTGGCAACTTTGTAGCGCAAGTCTAGTACGCGAAGTTCAGGTTTCCAGCTCCAGCTGGTAAATCGCAACTTTGTCGTAAGTGACGTGTATTCGGGTTCGTGAGCTCTGTCTTGCTTAATGATGATATATATTTATATACATAAATTAAAATATTGTTAAAATTATGATATGTTTATATTATACGTTGTTTGTTTTGATGGTTTTGTATGATTTGATTGTTTTGGATTTTGAGTAGTTTTTTGTTTTTAGAATATATATTTAAGATATGAATAAATAATGTGTATATATTTTAATGAATATTTTTTGTTGAAATTTATTATTTATGTTAGTTATATATATATATATTTTATATTATTATTATATAATATATAAAATTAATATAGTATATTAGATTGAGAGATTTGATTATTTTAGTTTTTTGATGTAAAATTTATTGATAAATTGTTTTTATGGGAATGTAATATAATGTTTTGATGTAATTTTTAGAGATTTATATGATGTTGGGTTTGGTTTTTATTGGAAGGAATAAAAAAATATATTTTAGGTTTAAAAAAATATTGATTGTTTCTAAAAAAAATATTATTTTGTATGTGAAAGGTATTGGGAGGTGGCGTTTGGTCGTATATATAGTTGATTTTGGAGATATATGTCGAGGATAATGAATTGATTTTGTTTGTTGTTTTTGATGATTATTTTGATTATGTTTGATGTATGGTAGTTGTGTTTTTAGAAGGGGTTGTTATGGGGGTTGATTTATTTTTTTAATTTTTTTTTGGAATTGATTTTTTTTTAAAACAAAAAACAAAAAATTTATTATTTGTTGTTTTTTAGTTTATTCTTATGGTTTTTTTGTATTTTATTTGTAGATATTAAGAAAATTAAAAAAAAAATATTATTTGAAAATAATATGTTATTGATATTGTGTTATGATGAAATATATATGAATAGAATATAAACCATTTTTTTTTATATATTATAGATAATCTGAGATAAATAATGATAATTTATTTTTTATTTTTGGTAGACAATATTTTATTTGTGGATTGTATTTATTCTTTTTTAATTAATTTTTTATTATTATAAGAATTCTTTAATAATATTGAAATTCTTATTTTAAAGCTGAATAGCAGGTGCTCATTGTGTTTTTTGAGTTTAAGTAATTAGATTGGAGTTGTGCGATAAATATGTTTGTGTTAGTTATTTAACCTATATATATATTAAAAAATATTGAATATCTAATTGTAAAAAGAAATGAAATTTCTTTATTGGGTCGAAAATGAATTTATGTTTGTATATTATTAGCCAAAAAGACAAAAACGAACCCCAATAAATCTAAGAGGTTATGGGTCTTGATCGTATATGGTTGGCATTTTTAATATGTATAATGGAAAAATTCAGTCCCCAAGAATCTAAAAAATTTAGTTCCCGGGAATCTAAAAAATTCAGCCCCCAAGAAGCTGGAAAACTCAGCCCCCATACCGACCCGCCCTCTATTTTTTAATATGTGTTTAGTTAATTTATTATTCATTGAATTATAAGGAATTTCTTTAGATCGAATAAAATAATTTTTGTGATTAAAGTAATATTGGGTTATGGGTAAAATATTTTTAAATATTTTATATTTGGATTATATTATTTATATTATAAATTATTAATGGTTTCATAGTAATAATTATATATAATATTAATTTATTAAAAAACATATTAATTAATAAAAATTACAGTTTTTAATATATATATATAAATATATTTTTATAATATTATAATTAATTTTATAAATTTATAAATTTAATTTATTTTATATATTTATTATAAATTTATATAATATTCAAAAACATAATTTAATTCTATAAATATATCAAATAACTAAATAATTCTTTATTTAAAATAATATTTTAGAAATATATATATAATTTTATTAATATATTGTAAATAAATAAATTAACCCATATTATTTTAATATATTCAATTTATTAATATTAAAATTTCAAATATATTTAATATAAATTAATTTGCAATATATCTATTTAAAAAATAGTATTAATTATATAAGTTCAATAAAATTATTTATATATATAAACATTATATAAAATTGTTTTATTTTTTTATTTGTTTCCATTTTATTTATTAAGTTAAACATATATAATAATAATAAATATCAAATATAAAAGATTTTTCGGCAAATAGTTTTCATAAATCAATATTAATATCCTAATAATTCTATCGATAAAAAATAATAATTCAAACCACCATTAAACATTTCTATATTATTCATTATTAAATATTTAAAAACAAATTATATCAACAAATAATAATCAATAACAAACAAATAATAATCAATTAATAAAAAAAATCAATAATTCACAAAAATCATTAATAACTATCAAAAATTAATAATGTTTATGCTTAACAAACAAAATTCAATTACCAATATAAAATCTATTCCTGCCTATTCCAATTATATTCCCAATATCTTAAAATCTAAATAAAAAAGAAAAAGAAAAGGACAAAAATTGGGAAAGAAATAAAAAAGAAATTAAATAAAAAAGGAATTAATATTTCATTAAAGAAATATTAAGAAAAAATAGAACATATACGAACGAAAATGGAAAGGATATAGAAAGAATATGGAAA